GCTCTTTGCTAGCCCAAGGGAACTTTTGCTACTCCAGCATAAGATTGTTCCAATAGTCTGATTCTTCACATTTCAAACCCCACTGCCAATTGATATGGACCTAGTTCTCTGCACATTTTCTACAACACTTTCTCTACATTCTTCTTCCACTATGTCTTCTGTCTATGGATTATTTCCTCTCTTCTAGCCTCTCTTGAAGCATTTCTAGCATTTCCCAATCAGTCAGATGCCCATCTGTTCCCCTGACTGTCACGTTAGCGACATGCTGAACTCTGAAGGAACAGTATTTTATGGTTACCTTCTGCCATGATAACGTAACTACAAATCCAGTTATTTCTTGCTCTGTTTTGTGACAGATGCACGTCTGTGTAACTTGCCAGTTTGTACAGCAATACCTTGCCTCTAAGCCAACAACTATTTAACTCCTCTAAAAATAAGAGCTCTTCCTTTAGAAAAAGGTATAGCAAGCTGCAATGCAGAGCCCCTCCCTGCATGAGCAAAATACACAAATGAGAAAGCCCAGGGACTGGCTTTATAACACATGCAAAGTGATGTGGCTGCCTGCATCTTCTTTTCTTTTAAATGTTGAGATTTCTTTAAACTCATTATTAAACAAGATCTCCCCAGACTCCAAAAGCTTACCAATGGTTTTGATTATTTGTTCTGCATTTTAATAACTTTCACATTCTTCTAAGGAATTCTTAAATTTCCTATTTGTATTCTTAAAGACCAACTACAACTTATGTAAAGGCTTTGGTTCACCTTATCATTTTCATTAAAACTGTATTAATACATTCTTTTCTGACTTTCACTGATGATGAAAAAATACAAATGGATGAATTAAATATTTTAGTTAAAATAATATATTTATTATACCTTAGTAAAAAACCCCATTGTGTTCTAAAAATAGAGAACAGGAAAACTGGCATATGAGAGTGAAAATATATGTATCTGAAGTTAAATGACAGCAGCTTTATAAAATTACTTACAGCAACTACCCCAGATCTTTGCTTGTACAAAATTTATACTTTGGGAGTGCAGGTCCCTTTATCTCCACCCTTAAAAATGATCCAAGAGAAGTTTCAGGAGTGGATCTGGGTGGATTTTCTCTCCCTCTAACTTGCTGCACCAAATAAGATGTGTTGGTTTCCTTTAACTGCACACATCTGGTGCATTGCTTATCCACTTCTATGCATACTAACATATCTGAGCAGGAATATCTGAATGCATGTTTAAAAAGCACAAATAATTGCCAGTTATGTTGGGGCAATGATGCACAATCTACAGTTTTATCTGTGCAGGCAATCTTAAAGCCACTTTACATCTGAAATCTTCTCTTTCATGCTATACACTTAAGTTTAATCCTGACTGTGTTATAAAAAACAAAAGCTAAATAATGGCATCAGTGGAAAGCCTGTTCTCTCCCTATTCTACTTCAGGAATTCTGACCCTGATTTTGTTGCTATCTATGAAATTCCAGAGTCTTTTTAGATTAGATGACTTGCACAGCTTCACCCTGTTCACCGGCAGCACATGATCTCTTTGGACCATAGTGCCATCTAGCTTCTCCTTTCTTGACCACAGTAATTCCATGTGCTGAACACAACTGTGTGATGTAGCCAAAGCAGGTCCACGGAGCTACTGTTAATATAATTGTCAAGCTAGTCTTTATACTTTATCTAGACATAGAGCTGAGTAAGGGGAAGAAACTACTCACTGAGCCTCTCAATAAACTCTTTGGTCATCCATTAAAAATGGGAGACAAAAGTATGTATTTTCCTTTGGAACAGGTCTTACTGCTTCCTTCCAAATGGAAAATCTAGATCCATACTGATGCTTTAGGCAACCTACCTGTGCCTTTGCAAAAGCTCTGGAGCCATACCAATACCAATAAACACTTCACAGGACATCACAGACAACCCAGCTAAGCCCTCTCACATTGGTGAAGGCACTTGCCTCCTAAAGAAAAATCCTTGGTCTCAAACAAGGATTATTTGAAAAGACTTGGAAGATTCCCTGAGGTGCCAAAAAAGGAAAAAGGCTAGAGAAAGATACTAAGATATTTCTCATTCACATGAGGGGTGGCGTGTCTCTTTCTTTAGTACCAAAGACTTTTTGATGGGAATAGCAGAGCAGACATGAAATGGTCACCCTAACTCCTTGGAACAGGCTGTGTAAATGAGAACCCTTTTTGGGTGATGGATTTCCTTGTATACACCTGGAATCTGACACCCATTCAAAGAAACCTGGGTTTCATTTGCTTTTGCAATATCTGCAGGACCTGCCTATATGCAAGCACACACCAAATCCAGTCCCCTTAATGAAGGTGTAACCTCATAACAAAGGCTGCAGTAGAAGAGAACATAAAGTCTCTTCCACATCTGGGTCTGCCTCACATCCTCAACAGCTTTTGATGAGCTAGGACTATACAAGATACAATTTAGTTTTCTCAGTCTTTCCTTCTAATTCACCTGTGTGCTCTTTACTGCTAGGAGGGGTAATTCCTGCTGTGTCTTATGAGTATGGTTCACATCCATCAACTGGCATCATTACGTGATCTTGTCACAATTTATGTCCAGTAGTAAACCAGTCAAGTCTTCAAACTCTCACTTCAGCCTCAATAGCAATATAAAGATTTTCCATAAAATTCTACTCATCAGTTTAGGGACTCAACCCCTAAAAAATTAACAAACTAATTGAGATTCCACTGTCCGTATTTCTTTCCACATAAGCAACTTCAAGTCATGAAGATACGAGGATAAATGAGCTACTGAGTATGTAAAGGCGGCACAAACATGCAGCTGCTAGAGGGATGCAGTAGCTGTCACCTTTTGCAACTGGCTTGTCTGAGGGAGAGTAATTCCGTCAGATGCCCAGCTGGCCATCGGAAAAGAGTACAAGAGTTTTGGTTCCTACAGAGCATCCAGACACAGCTACCCTCACTGCTGACAGCATCCACTAGCACCAGGCACTCTTGTTGAATCTACAAGCAAGCTTGTCATCACTGGATGTTTTAATGGGAATTCTTTGCAAGAGTTTGCTCAATGACTACCTGAATTGATGTATTTACATAATAGGTCCCTATGCCAACTTAGGAACAGTTGGCACGTAAACAGCTTTGTACACTTGTGCTTGGAACGAAATAATGATGTCAAATATTGCCAAAAATATATTACAACTCACCAACTTTGCTCCCAAAATCAAGGAATAAAAAGTAGTATTTTGATATAGCATTGTGCAAGTGAGGAGAACAGGAAACAAAACAACCCTGCAGTATTACAGAATCAGAATATTTAGGGTTGGAAAGGACCTTAAGATCATCTAGTTCCAACCCCCCTGCCATGGGCATTTCTAGAGATCTCTCATTTAAAGATAAGAACTTGTATGTGCCATTCTATCCTGAGTATCCTGATCAGAACTATTTTCAAATTACAGACAAGATTAATATATAATCAGTTATTTTATTCATGAGGTTAACATGATGTCTATAGTGTTAGAAGTTACTAAATGAGATAATGGTTACAAGACCCTTAGTTTTACATGCAGTGGGTTTTCATTTTTGAACTATTTGCTTCCTGAGTCACACTCACATATTCCTTACTATGGTTTCCCTAGAACCTTTTTCCATTTGGGAATTTCATATGTTGTATACTCAGGAGACAATTTTATTTTATTTTTTCTCTAAAACTAAATAAACAATTGTCTCCAAAATCCTAAAGAAAATAGGCCAATGATAGCAATAAAATCTGAAGAAGATACCAGATAATGTTTTACAATTTGTTCTCATAGTTCTGCCCTTCTCTTCTACAGAAATCAGGTTACTCTCTGAAGACATACACTTTATTCTCTGCCACCTTGCCATCTACTGCAAAAGGGTATGGGCTGGTCTCCCACAAAGACACATGCTGCCAGACAAGCCTGCACATGATTTCTTTGATCTCTGAGTAATAGCTGACTTTTTTTAACATTCTTAAATTCCCAAACTCAGACAGAGGGATGTTCAACAATGGATAAGAATTCCTGACGAGTTTTGTTTACCTCCAATGAAGTAAAGCCATAGCTCAAAGGCTACATACTTTTATATTAAATACACACATATGTACATATAAATCCATAATTTTCCTTGAATTTTATAAATCAGAAACAAAACATCTTTCCCCTCAAACCTCTCAAAATGTATTCATGTTTGGGCTGCTCCCAAGCATGGGACACTACCATGTAAAGCTATGTTTTTTAGCATAGTATGACTACACTGCAGAAGGGACTATAATTATAATCTTGACATTACCATAACGACCGTGGTTGCTATCAGGTGACAGGTATAATATAGATACTCCATACACAGTACAAGAGCAATATTTAATGATGCATGAGAAAGAAGAAAATTAATTAAGCTGAGAATTAATTCAGCTCAGAGCCATCCTTTGTTCTATTTGCCTGACTCTCCTAATCCTTTTTCTTATGCCCAGAACAGCTCCAATAAATAGCAAAGGTATCTCATATGGACTCTGGAGAGCTCCCATGAATCATTTTTGTGCTCCTATTTATCTTTTTTTTTTTTAATATGACAGGTAGCTCTACTGTCTTAATAGCATACAAAGAAAAAAGCTAATAGGCACAGCAAAACCTATGAAAAGTTCCTTTCCCTTGGATTGGTACTGAGGCTGTTCTTGTTTTCCCATGCTGCAGCTGACCAACTCTTTCATTTAATCAGCCTGAGAGAAATCATGCCACAATAATTACACCTAGAGCAAAGGCAGATGCTCTGTTGAATGGAAGAGGGACACTTATGCTCAATGGAGGAGCTAACATGGCTGCACACCTCAAATCCTGCAGGATTTTACCACTACCTTTATCAAAATGGATTAAACGAGACATTTTGATAGGAAAGTACACTCCTGCAATGAAGCTATTCCAACATATGTAGATAGCAACAGATGAAATGCAACAGAAGACAAAGGATTAATACTCAAATGTAGATATGAACAAGTACTACTCACACATCTTCACAGGATTCCTGGTTATTACCTCTGCTGAAACCTTGCTGCTCCTGTCTCCACAGCTACAGCACTGCACAGCCATTTCACTGAACCTTAGAATGAAATATGCAAAGCTTATAAAGAATCACAGCAACAGTGTTTTATGCAATGATATCAAAGTCAGTGTCAGAGGCTCTATGGTGAGAGGAAATCAGCTATTCCAGCACTTTGGTACACTGGGGCAAGGCAGACAAAAGGGGCAGGAGAAAACAAAAAGGGTATTTCCCTGTGACACCTCAGTGGAACAAACATGAAGTAAAGTTTGTGCAATGCTTTGCTGAACTCTGGTATTGTTCACTTGATCACCTTGGCCTCTCAAGCTCTCTCTTTCATAGTTTTCTTGTGTTGCTAATGCTCACCTTGCTCTTTTCAGAGTGCCATTGCTCCTCCATCATATCATCAGCTTCAGGACAGATCAGGATGGATGCAGCTCTTGCCTGAAGCATATCTGCATTTTTAATTCTGCCCTGAGACTGTCACAGGAGATTCCAGACAACCTGAAGACTTCTATGAACAAAACTCCATCTGAGATGGCAGAGTCATGAAGCTATGAATAAAATAACAAGATATAAAACATATCTCTCTCAGGTACAGTAGCTCCTGCCATTTCTCCCCACAAGGCTCCACTTCCACTTCCCTTACTCAGCTGCTCTCTGAATTCAGCTCTTTGTTCCTTGTACCTTGGTCCTTGCACCATGGGAGCTGGTTCCATCCAGTGACAATGAGAATTATTCTTTCTTCCACTGTGTTTCTTTAATAATTACAACTAAATATGTTTTCATCCACTGTCAGTTCTAGAGCAGCAGGAAAAATCTGAAGCAGAGAATGATCTCAAAACAGTACAGAAAAAAAAAAGGCATTAGAATAGTACTAAAAAATTTTGTCAGACACATTTTTGTTGTTCATTATTTCAACCCATTGACCCACAAAGGAATAGCTCAGCATGGTGAAGCCTATGGTGCTACACAGCTCCCTGGTTTGGCTTGAGCTCCCCCTTCCACAGGCAGTTTGCTTTCCTTCTGAACACTTCTTAGAAGCTTGGCTCCACACCTCTGGTGTGGGGTTGCAGGTGAGATACCCTATAGTTTGTCCTACAAAACAAAGGGTTAATGTTATCATGTTTCTTCAGAAAACCAAAGCTTCAGGCCAGAAAGCAGCCATGAATGGGTTTTCTTCAGGATTATCTTGTTTCCAGGTTTTTAATTCCATGAACAATTCCATGTTGGAACGTGGACTCCCTCCAGAAGGGAACAGGAGACCTGGTCACCTGGGACATGAAAAAGGCAGAGGTACTGAATGACTTCTTTGCATCAGTCTTCACCAGCAAGTGCTCCAGCCACAGAATACAAGTCACAGAAGGCAAAGGCTGTGTCTGGGAGAAAGAAGGACCACTCACTGTAGGCGATCAGATTCAAGACCATTTAGTGAACCTGAAGGTGCACAATCCCATGGGTCCTGAGGGAACTGGCGGATGAAGTGGCTGAGCTGCTGTCCACCATATTTGAGAAGTTGTGGCAGGCCGAGGAAGTTCTCACTGACTGGAAATGGGGAGATGTAACCCCCACTGTTAAAAAGGAAAGAAATGAACACCCAGGGACCTACAGGCCAGTCAGTCTCACCTTGGTGCCAGGCAAGATCATGGGGCAGGTACTCCTGGAAACTGTGCTAAGGCGTATGGACAATAAGCAGATGATAGGTAACAGCCAACATGGCTTCACTAAGGCCAAATCATGCCTAACAGATTTGGTGGCCTTCTACAACAGGGTTACAGCACTGGTGGATAAGTAAAGAGCAAATGACATCTACCTGGACTTGTGCAAAACATTGGACACTGTTCCACATAAAATCCTTGTCTCAAAACTGAGAGGCATGGACATGATGGATGGACTACAGGGTGCATAAAGAATTGACTGGATGGTAGCACTCAACGAGTTGTGGTCAATGGCTTGATGTCCAAGTGGAGACCAAGTGATGAGCAGCAATCCTCATAGGTCATTGTTGGGACTCATCCTGTTCATCATCTTTGTCAGTGACATGGCCAGTGGGACTGAGAGGCTTTCAGCAAGTTTGTCATGGCACCGAGCTGTGTGATACTGTCGACACACTGGAGGGAAGGGATGGGATCCAGGGGGATCCAGGACCTGGACACACTGGAGAGTTGGCCAATGCCAACCTCATGGAGTTCAACAAAGCCAAGTGCAAGGTTCTACACCTTCCAGGCACAGCTACAGGCTGGGCAGAGAAGTGACTCAGAGCAGCCCTGAGGAGGACTTGGGGGTGCTGGCTCTTGAGAAGCACAATATGACCCAGCCATGTTTGCTTGCAGCACAGAAAGCCAACTGTATCGTGGGCTGCACCAGCAGCTGCGTGAGCAGTAGGTTGAGGAGGGTAATTCTCCCCCTCTGCTCCACTCTGGTGAGATCTCACGTGGATAACGACATTCAGCTCTGGGTCCCCTAACATAAGAAGGCAGCGGACCTGATGGGACGAGTCCAGAGGAGGCCATGAAGATGCTGTGAGGGCTGGAACAGCTCTGCTCTGGAGCCAGGCTGAGAGAGCTGGGCCGATTCAGCCTGGAGAAGAGAAGGCTCCATAAGGGGAGACCTCAGAGCAGCTGCAGTGCCTAAAGGGGCTCCAGGAAACCTGGAGAGGGGCTTTGGACAAGGGTCTGTAGGGACAGGACAAGGGGAATGGCTTTAACCTGCCAGAGGGGAGACTAAGATGAGCTCTTAGGCAGAAGCTCTTCCTGTGAGGGTGCTGAGGCGCTGGCACAGGGTGCCCAGAGAAGCTACAGCTGCCCCATCCCTGACAGTGTTCAAGGCCAGGTTGGATGGGGCTTGGAGCAACCTGCTCTAGTGGAAGGTGCCCCTGCCCGTGGCGGGGGGTTGGAACTGGAGGAGCTTTAAGGTCCCCTCCAACACAAACTATTCCATGATTCTATGAATATGCCTGGAATAAGTATAGGGCAGACTGAACAGGAAGTCTTGCCATATTGAGTTCATCGACAATAAACTAAAGAGGTGGCACACACTCTTAAATCAGAGCTATTTTCCTTTAAGGTCATGTTTGCTAAGCCAGAAGAGATCATTAAATCACCTTTATGGTAGCAGACTGGTTTGGATACTTGCATAAGAGTGTGTATTTGGTAATGAGGTCACTTTTGATAAGTAGTTTTCTCCAGCCTTCAAACTGTTTGTGACTTTTTTCTGTATTACTCCTGGTTTTTTACATAGCCTTAATCAAATACAAGCACCTGTGAATACAGACACAGAACCTGTCCGTTACTCTACACAGGGAAAAACCCACCTTCAAAACCTACTCAGTCTTAAGTAGATATTTAAGTATGTGGGATTTGTCCCTCAGTTCTTCAGTCTCAGTTTACAATCATCTCCCCAGCCTGACACTGCTCAAGAAGTCATTCCCTGGTCAGCAGAATCAAGTACTTTTAGGGAAGGAAATTACAGAAAATACTGAAGAAAAGGAAAAAGAAGGCAAGAAAATAGACTATTACCCTGGTAAAATGATGACAGTGCATGGGAAGGATTGACATAAAAGAGAAAAAAAAAAGGTAGCTTTCTTAGAAGTTAAACAGTCACGAGGAAAGCTATTTTCGCTGCTATTTGGGAAAGGGACTTCTGAATTTAAAGAATACTGCAATAATCTGGTTATGTGATTTAAGATGAAATAGAAAGCTAAAGTATATGTTGTCACTTTTTTCTTTAATGAAATGCTACACTCAAACGTCTTCATTTGAAAATAATCTGTATGTGGGTTTTTTTTAAAAATAGCATCAATTTGGTAGTTAGGAAAAAAGAAAGGTTCAGAGCGTGCTGCTGGCGGAGCGGGGAGGGTAGCTCAGGGGTAGCCTACCTCCACGTCCAGCCATGCTCCAGAAGAATGCTGATGCCACACATGCACCTTTAGTCCTTTTGGATTCCAGAGGTTAAGGAAATATGCTGCTGTATGGAATGCTTTGATAAAAGAAGAACTTGAGAATACAATCACATGGATTTGTTTATTAGGAAAAGCATAGAATTCTGTTTCCCCACATTTATAAAGAATCAAAGAATTGGAGATGGTGAATTTCATAATAATCCCAGGCCTCTTTTGGCTTTCAAACTTCTCTCTGCGTTGTTACTCAGCATCCCACTGTTAGTGCCCCTGTCCTGCTTTCTTAGGTTTTTAAGCTTCACTTTGCTGCCTGTACATTTTTATGTACCTTTGTTAAGGGCAATGATTGCCCAGTTTTGGTGAAGGCTCATACTATTACAGCTACCTGTACAGCTCCCACAGAGCAGCCCAATGGCTTTTGATGACTGTCTTAAATTAAGGTTAACTTCAAAAAGGTTTAATCCGAATAAGTTTATGAAGCCCCTCTGCAAGGGGGGCTAACCGTGTTTCTGCCTTAGGGTGTTACTCTGAGGCATCACAATGTCACCTTTAAAAAGCAGGTCCCACACGTGTTTCTGCACAGGCAAACCTACAAACTGATGTGTAGATTTACTTAGGCCACCATAATACACCAAATGGCTGTTTTCAAGCCACATCAGTACGACTGGCTATTCAGCCTATTACTAACTCCTAGCTGCTCTTGTTTCCAGAAGCCCTGAGAAAAAAGCAAAGGAATAGGCACCTATTGCACATGAACAATGTGGCTGACCTGCACCACTGTGTAATAAATCCAGCACTTGAATGAGATCTATCTAATGTATGTGAAGCCAGCTGAACAGCCACTCTAGGAAGGGCAGTCTCAGACTGCTCAGACAACTGGCTTGGCACACCACCAGATCAAAGAAGCAATTCAATTCAAGCAAACCTCCCTTGAATTGCTAACAGGTTTTCCCATCACCTTCATTTAAACCTCTTGAAAAACTGGCTCAGACATTTTAAAGGACAATTGGCAGCACAGCCCCAGCAGCTCTTAATCAGCTGTTTGAGTGTGACAGAAATTCATACTGAAGAAAAGTCACCATTAAACTAGAAGGACACATACGAACCAGCTGTAAAAGTAAAGCATAGATGCCAAAAACTGAGTCAGATCAATTTTCTCAACCAAGAAGCAGTACCACAGAGCCAGAAGTTAAGCTAAGCTGAGCTTCCATTGCAATTTACCATGGAGTATTTACAATGTGGAAATACAAAGAATATGGCTGTAGAACAAGGCATACAGGACTTTTCTGAGCAGTAATTTCTCTAAGAAACTGATCTTGAGACAATTACTCTTTTTTTAATTACTTTAAATTAAAGTTCTTTTCTGCGTAATGCTATTTAGGTCACCTGAGTATATTAAAACAGTCAAAGATTTACAGTCAGATGTAATTACATCAAACTTTCCATAGGATTTCCAGCTTTCTCTGGAATTAATGCATAGCAGAAGGATAGCTGACTTAGGTTTTTGTAAATGAGAGCATTCTGTATACAGGCTTGCATTTAAAACGTAGTCTATATAAAATACAGGCATTTCACTTGCATGCTATTTGACATGGGAAGAAGCCCAGAAATTCCAGTTAGCTGATGTTTGGACACTGAATTCTGAAACAGGTTATTGCTTTAACTCCAGACTAACACGTTCCACAGTCAAAACCAGGGGGATGACACGTGATTTTTTTATTTTAAAGCTTTTTCTTCTGCTGCTGAGCCCAGTACTGTTACCAAGTGTCTTCAATTCCTTCAGCCACAGTGGAAAGTGGTGATGTGTGTCCTTTTGCTCCACACTGAACAAATGCTCCAAAGTAGAACAGGGTCTTACCCCTTGGTGGCCCTGGAGTTTGCTCTACTTCAGCAGTGATCCAGAGTATTTTCCAGAACTAGTATAGGTGTGGTTGGAACAGTTTTCCTTCTCCATCTGCTGCACAAAAGCACAGTTGCTGGGATTAGGATAAGAGATTCCAACAAGGATACAGTGGCTCCTCCACTCTCCAGGATATGTGCACAGTGTTGATAAAAATAAACCTTGCATATCTTCTTGTTCATGTTTTCCTGCTAAACCTCTCCACCTTTCTGATGCTGGTGGCACACTGGCTCTCACACTATCTCCACGGTGGAGGAAGAAGCTCTCTGTAAGCCTCAGACTCTGGGAAACAGGTCCTTGCAAGTGGCTAATGTGATTTTTAAGATGTCGATACATTTTCAGGATGTCAAGATGATTTCATGTTCCTTTTGAAGCCTCTGTTCCTTGTCTTTGTCAAATCCTGACGTCAAGAAGAATCTTTTCTGTGGCGATGCCTTACGCTTTTATATAGAAAAATAAGTTTTGGTATGGGGCTTTTAGATACAGCATTGCATCACAGGTGCCTAGCAGGGAAAGAATTAAACTCTTCCCTCTCTCTTAAAGCAATTCCCTTAAAGCAAACCCCACCAGCTAAGGCAAGCAAAGTGTGGAGCATGATAAAATATGGCCAGAGGGCCTTTTATGTTACACCCATCATGCTTGTCTCTTCCTTCTTATAGTCCCATCATTCAGATACCCTCACGAGAGCTGCCAAGCTCACATTTATACCTGTCACCCAATGCAACATATTCTGGTTGTGAAGAACCTTGCTATGTTCCTGTAGGTCCATTCTTCTCATGATGGCACAGTTCAGGTGATACTGCTTATGGATGCCCACGGACTCAGAAAACAACCACCTTCTCCCAGTCTTTTGTGCCAAAAGGCAGAGTGCCAAGTATCACCACCAGAGACCAGCTGTGCCGGAGAAGAAGGAGGTGGTCAAGCAACAGAGAAGGAAACGGAAGGATTTTGGGGCCTTTCCTGGGGGGAACGAGGCTCACCACTGCAGTCTGTTTCCCTCACCACTTTTCCCAATGGACCTGCTAGTTTATATTTAGCGGAGGCTGGGAAACCGCACTTGAGCAATAATGCATTTAACAGAAACAGAACAAGCTGTAACCACACAGGCGACAAGGCTGGATGGACAACACTGCTCTCCATATTGCATTGTGTTTTATCAAGTGCAGAGCCATAGGCAAAGAGAGGCCTTTGTCAAAACAGGCCTTATATAGCCTTCAAACTAAAATATCCAGAACATCACCACAAAGGTGTACGTGTTTTTAACAGTTTCCACAGACAGCATCGTGTGGAGGTTTGCCAGGGAAAGCTGAAGGAGGGTCTTGCATGGAACATAGAGATAGGTAACAGGAGAAAGGAAGCAGTTCCTGGTGGATTTATTACTTTGTGTGTGCAAAGGGACGCTTGCCAGTCCTTCAAAAGTACTTTTTCAAATCATTACCTCAGAATCTGAACGGATTACACAGATTTTATGAAGTCTCAAAAAGAGCTGTCTGTGTGCCTGCCTCATATCGACATCTTTAAAGCATAACGACAGTTTAAAGCATAACAGTGACGTAGGTTGCCATATTTACCAGTTATCCCAGCTTTCTAAATCCACCGCTTCTGGCTGGAGTCCTGGCCGGCACCCGGAAGCGGAGCTGAGGGGAGCGGGCGGCGGGAAACCCGCACCTCAGCCTCGGAGCCTCGGGCTTCGTGCCAGCGCGGCCAAAGAGGGAGGAGAGAGGCCAGAGTAGCAACAGGAGAACGTCCGAAGCGCGGAGCGGTGCCGGGCTCCGCGCCTGACGGGGGGCGCGGCGGACTGCTTTCTCCCCGCCGTGAGGTGGCCGCGGGCGGGGAGCGGGCTGAGGGGACGCGGCTGTTCCCGCCCGGCGCTGCCCCTCAGCGCGGCGCTGCGCTGCCGCTGGCGCTGCCCCCCGTGCCTCGCCGCCTGGGCAGCTGCGGGCAGGGCGGTGCGGCGGCGGGGCCGGCGGCGGCCGAGGCGGGCCGCGGTGCGGCAGCGGGCCCGTCGGCGCGGGGCAGGACGGATCGGGCCGCCCGGCGGAACTCCTCGCTGCGCCACGTGTAGAGCAGTGGGTTGAGGGCCGAGAGGGCGCAGAGCAGCAGCCAGCTGGCGGCCTGCAGCGCTGGCGGCGCCGGGCGCAGAAAGAAGCCCAGGAGGCTGACCCAGACCAGCGGCTGCGTGCCCAGCAGGAACACGCAGCACAGCAGCAGGACGGAGACGCTGCTGAGGCGGCGCTGGGAGCGGCGGGGCGGCGGCGGCGCGGCGGGGAAGGGCAGCTGGTGCAGGAGGTGGAAGTTGAGGACGCTGACCCGCTTGGCACTGCCCCGCACCCGCCGCACGATGCCGAGGTAGCAGTGTAACAGCAGCGCTGTCTGGCCCAGCACGGCCAGGGCGAGGAGCAGCGCGGTGTAGCGGGAGCTGCCGTCCGTCTGCCGCAGCTGCGGCTGCTGGGCAGAGCCTGGCGTCCAGAGCCCGGGCAGCAGCGGGACCAGGAGCAGGGCGAGGGCCCAGGAGAGCCCGATCATGCAGCCCGTGTGCCTCCGCTGGTAGAGGGCCTGGTACACGCTGGGCAGCTTGGTGATGAGCACGTACCTGTTGAAGGCCACCAGCAGGTGAGAGGCGAGGGACACGGTGAGGCCGAGGCCCAGGAGCCCCCCTCGCAGCAGCCGGTACTCTGCGGAGCGAAGGGAGGAGGAGTTGGGCGGCAGCAGCCCCAGCACAGCCTCCTGGGGCATCCACAGGGCGCACACGCTCAGGTCTGCCGCGCAGCCGTTCACGATGAAGGCATTGCTGGTTGTCTGCAGCTTCTTGAAGGAGAAGACCAAATAGATGACCATCACATTGGATAAGGTCCCCGAGATAGCCAAGACTGCGTAGAGCAGCGAGAGGAAGATGCGGGTCCCAGAGGAGTCCTCCCAGAGCAGCAGCAGAGGCGAGCTGGCACTCCAGGAAGAGGCGTTGGGCATCTCGCTGAATGCAGCTCAGTTTTGGCTTCTCCCTGTAAATCCCATCCTGGTCTGGGTCAGAAGATCCTGCTGCAGGAGTCCCCCACCAAGCACAAGGGAGGATGTGCAGCTGAGGGACTCTTAAGGCATGTTCCAGTCATACGGGCTGCAAGGTCCAGAACACACAGTGCGCAGTGAGAGAATGGCAGTGTCCAAGGCACGCAGTACTATGAGATCCCACAGCGTGTAGGTAGCGAAGGTGGGTCCATAGAGAGCGGATGGCTGTGAGCAGACCAGAGCACGGCTGAGGCTTCTGGAGCTGTGAAAATGTGAAGAGCAGCAGCACCTTGCAATCAGCAGCAGAAACGGTAGCAACTGATACAAAGCTTTGCAGTTTCTCCTGTGCCACGCTACGTACACTGTATATCATTCCAGGAAGATTCAGCCCTTCCACTCTTCATGAATTATTCAGCAGATTTTCAACTTGTTAAATCAAGAAGAAAAAAAAAAAAAGAAAAAAAAAAAACCAAACCCTGTCATGCTCCAGAAATACTGCATCTACACAGTCTGACTCTTCCCTTCGCGTTACCAGTTTCCTGGTTCAAAGCCATTTACACAACTTTCATTTGCAGCAGGCTTTCAAACCAGTATCAGTCACTTCTGTCTGAAACACGATTTATTTACTGGAGAAAATCCTCTGCGAGATACTTCCCTTAAATTGGTTTTATTTCTGACACTTTTTTAAGAGAAAGTGCACTATGCTTCTGCAAGCTTAATTTTAGAACTGGTCTAAACAATATACTTTCCAAATTAAATCATTCAAACACAACAGATGCACAGATCCTTGGTAAGACAAAATTCCTTATTTGAGGAAGCTGGTACTCAGCCTAAATATTCAGTATTTCTTGATTAAACAGCCTGGCTCAGCCCACAGGAGATCCTGCTGGAGGTGCCAGTAAGAACACAGATAAAACAGAAATAGTGCGGTGTTTGAAACGGTCTCATACCAGAATTGATTCAGAGCACAAGTCCCAGCAGAGGTGACTGGCAGGTGGTTGCATGGACTAAAAGCTGTGTGAAAAGCCGGACGTAACACTTCTTTCCCAAATAGACAAGAGTTTGTAGTTGGATTCTCTCAGGAACTCAATGGTACTTTATTCAAACAGTAACGGAATGTTAGCTGTCCTTACCCTGCACAAGACTTAATAAGAAAGCAAGTAAAAGAACTTAATATTTCCTCTCAGAAAAGCTTCCCAGAAGAGGAATGCTGCTTAATTTTGTGGTGACTGTAGGAGATAAAGTGCTTTTACAGGTGGGTTATATGTAGGCTACAGAAATGAATGCTCCTGGCTGGTAAGGTATGATCTGTATATTGACTAAAGGTATCTTTGTTAAACTCACGGTGCTAACAAATGACAACACCCAATAATCTATTAGGAAATAATTATAGTTACAATAGACATTCTTTAAGATACTGGAGTTAATTAATGTGGGTTAACAGATTAATTTTTTGCAACACAGCACATCTTTCGTTTGACAGGCTCGTGTTTGCAATTGACAGGACTATTGATCCAAACATGCATTTGTTACCAACAAGAATACCTACGTTCTTCTTTAATTAATTAGGTTGCTCATGTACTCCAGGTTAAAGACATACCTGAGTGATTTACTTGATCAGGCCCTTAATTACCATACTTTTTGCCTGCTGCACTTTACAGTGTAGATCTAATCAAGTGTCAAACCTTTTGAGGCCTTTCATTGTTTAGCTGTCAGTAGAGAACAGTTATTATAGAAACTCAAATCCTCCTCTTTCTGCAGTACTGTAATTGAAAAATATTCTCTAAATCTGTAACAAGAAATCTCTCCCCAACCAAAAAGCTTCATAAGGCATACTTTAAAGAGATGATTAACAGCTTCATAAGGCCATGGAATCACAGGCCCAGTGAAACCTCTAGATCTATTTAACCCATCCTTGACTGTTTATCAAACCTGTTTTAATGATCTCCTGTGCTTGCACTCCCAGAACAAGAAGATACATTTATGTATGGGGCAACAGAAATAGTAAAAGTTCAAGGAGAAGGGAACAGAGGATAAACAGAGAACCAAATTCCAGGGTATTTCTTAAAAGCTACAAGGTTCTAAAGACCTCCCTGACCTTTCACTGTCCCTAGATTTGTTGCTGTTGTTAGGAAGCAGACTGTAATAGAATATTGGCTATATTTATCTTTCATTTTTAAAAACAAAAAATATGTTGTACATTAGCTGGCATTTATGTATTTTGTATAGAAAATGTAGAAAAAAAACCTAGGGGAGAGGTTAATTCCTATGTACTGGAAACTTCTTATTTAGCTGCCTTTTGTATTTACTCTGCACATCCAAAACACCATCCATTAATTTTCTGAGTGTAGTGGCAAAAGCATTTATTGTGTTTTTAGATGAGACTTCCATCAGAATCTGGGCAACTTCCAAAGCTCTGTCCCTGGCTTTGCCATTCCTTTAGAGTGGCTGTGTAACAGTTCCATACTGCCCACATCATCCACTGCGGTACAGACTTAGCCAACAGGAATATTAAGCACCCTGGATAAATAATCACGTGACACACAAATGTGCTGATAATCAGCAGCACAGTTAAACCATGTTAGCACCATTTGTGACTAGTTTTTAATTGAAAGGAAGGATAAGAAGCTAATGAAAGCATGATGTTTTAGGTTTTTACAGACAAAGACTCTGCTGTTTGTGAGACTAAGAAACCTTTTACATCTGCAAAAGACAAGGTATAGTACACCTTTAACAGGCGTCCTTGTCCAGGAAAAAAGAGCTTCCTCAATTCAGACACAGCTTTTAAGTTACGGTATTTTCAAATGCAACCTTTACATCATACTGTCAACACGTTGATTAAATACTTGATGTTATACAAAGCAAGTACAAGGTTAGCTAGAGATGTTATAAAAGATACCCATCATACTAATGACTTTGTGCAATGTCACCTTACTTTTTGGCGTTTTCAAGCAATTGCTAGGGGAAATCCCATGGGCAAGACTGTTTGAAGGTAAAGGGGCCCAAGACAGTTGGTTGGCATTCAAGGATTGCTTTTTCTGAGCTCAAGATCGGAGCATCCCAACACGTAGGAAGTCAAGGAAGAGGGCCAGGAGACCTGCGTGGCTAAATAGGGAATTGCTGGGTATGCTCAAGTGGAAGAGGAGAGTTTACAGCTCCTCATGGAAGGAGGGGCTGGCCACTTGGGAGGAATATAAGGCTGCTGCTAGAGGATGTAGGAAGGCAGCTAGGATGACTAAGGCCTCCTTAGAATTAAACCTGGTGAGAAGGGTCAAGGACAGCAAAAAGAGCTTTTTCAAATACATGGCAGACAAAACTAACATGAGAGGCAATGTAGGCCCACTGATGAACGGGATGGGTGCCCTGGTGACAGAAGATACAGAGATGGCAGAGTTACTGAATGCCTTCTTTGTCTCTGTCTACTCTGCTGCAGGCAGTCCTGAAGAGCCCTGTACCCCTGAGACCTTAGATGAAGTCAGGTCGACGGAGCGGTTTGCCTTAGTCGATGAGGAATGGGTTAGAGATCAGTTGAGCAATCTGGACATCCATAAATCCATGGGTCCAGATGGGATGCACCCGCAGGTGCTGAGGGAACTGGCGGAAGTCATTGCTAGACCACTCTCCATCATCTTTACCAAGTCTTGGGAAACAGGAGAGGTGCCTGAGGACTGGAGGAAAGCAAATGTCACTCCAGTCTTCAAAAAGGGCAAGAAGGAGGACCCAGGTAACTATAGACCGGTCAGCCTCGCCTCCATCCCTGGGAAAGTGATGGAACACCTTATCCTTGGGGCCATCTTAAGGCATATCAAGGATAAGAGGGTTATGAGGGGCAGTCAACATGGCTTCACCAAGGGGAAATCATGCTTGACCAATCTCTTAGCCTTTTATGAGGAAATAACACGGTGGATGCATGATGGCAGAGCGGTGGATGTGGTCTACCTTGACTTCAGCAAAGCATTTGACACAGTCTCCCACAGCATCCTCACCGCTAAATTGAGGAAGTGTGGACTGGATGATCAGGTAGTGAGGTGGACTGCGAACTGGCTGAAGGAGAGAAGCCAGAGTTGTAGTCTATGGGGCCGAGTCTAGTTGGAGGCCTGTAACTAGTGGAGTGCCTCAAGGGTCAGTACTGGGACCAGTATTATTTAATATATTCATCAATGATTTAGGTGAGGGAATTGAGTGTACTATCAGCAAGTTTGCTGATGACACTAAGCTGGGAGGAGTGGCTGACACGCCAGAAGGCTGTGCTGCCATCCAGCGAGACCTGGACAGGCTGGAGAGTTGGGCAGGGAATAACTTGATGAAATATAACAAGGGAAAGTGTAGAGTCCTGCATCTGGGCAGGAACAACCCCAGGTTCCAGTATAGGTTGGGGAACGACCTGTTAGAGAGCAGCATAGGGGAGAGGGACCTGGGGGTCCTAGTGGACGACAGGATGACCATGAGTCAACACTGTGCCCTTGTGGCCAAGAAGGCCAATGTCATCCTGGGGTGTATTAGAAGGGGGGTGGTTAGTAGGTCGAGAGAGGTCCTCCTTCCCCTCTACTCTGCCCTGGTGAGACCCCATCTGGAATATTGTGTCCAGTTCTGGGCCCCTCAGTTCAAGAAGGACAGGGACCTGCTGGAGAGAGTCCAGCACAGGGCAACAAAGATGATTAAGGGAGTGGAGCATCTCCCTTATGAGGAAAGACTGAGGGAGCTGGGTCTCTATATTAGAGAAGAGGAGACTGAGGGGTGACCTTATAAGTGTCTATAAATATATAAAGGGGGAGTGTCACGAGGATGGAGCCAGGCTCTACTCAGTGGCAAACAATGATAGGACAAGGGGTAATGGGTACAAACTGGAACACAAGAAGTTCCACTTAAACTTGAGAAGAAACTTCTTCTCAGTGAGGGTGACGGAACACTGGAACAGGCTGCCCAGGGAGGTTGTGGAGTCTCCTTCCCTGGACACATTCAAAACCCGCCTGGACGCATTCCTGTGTAACATTATCTAGGTGTTCCTGCTCCAGCAGAGGGATTGGACTAGATGATCTTTTGAGCTCCCTTCCAATCTCTAGCATACTGTGATACTTAAAAATACATTACATGCTTTAGAAGAAGGAAGGTCATTTTGAAGAGCTGCTTTTCTATTAGATATCCAATTTTATTGGTTAGCATCAAAATATCTAATGTAAGAAACGCCAAGAAACAAGGAGGCTGGATGATAAAGGCATTTTATTGTCACTTAGCTGTATGTCTATATATCTACATTTCAAAATTAAACAATATTTTATCAAGGAAAACTATTTATAACAAAGTACATGACAAAATTCTTTATAAGAGGTAGAATTACCTTACCATTAATCTATAATTAATATACAGTATATTGTATATATATGCACACACATATGCTACTTTGTGTGTGTATATGTTACATATACACAGTTGTGGAAAAAGTACAGTATTGCATGGAGATTTTATTTAGTGATTTATATAGCTGCTCTCAGTATTGCTTAGTAACACTTTCAGTACAACTTTCCATAGCAATTTGTGAGCTTATCTTTTAAATAAATAACGTGGCACTTTACCTTAACTTTAGCTGTCAAGCAAATGCAGGGAATTCCTGATCTTCACGAACAGATGGACAGTTCAACTGAGTTTGATCTTTTAAGTTTCTGTAGGTATCAGAAACCCTCCTACGTAACAGATCTGTTTCTGGTTTTGTCTTCTAAACTAGTGGCAAATCAAGTCCTTTTTTTTTTGCTTACTGTGCATTTGTGGAGTTGTGAAAATTTCCCATGGGATCTCCAGTGCTTCACTGTGACACCTTAATTCTCAGTCTCCTTCCTAGTAACACCTGATTAAACTATACATTAAAGAGCATCTTTACTACTGCAAAAACGTTCTGTGATACAGGAACTTACATTAGCTATGTGTTTTAACAGCAGTTTGCAAAGTACAAGGTTTATGAAACATCCAATTGATGTTACCCAATTCATATCCAAACTTATCTAATTGATAAGTGAAAATTTAATATACTTCAAACATCTTTGCTAATGAAAGTGTACACATACTGCCAAATGTAGGTTAAAACCACTTAAGTATGTAGCACTGCCCAACTCACTGTACGTACACAGTCTTACCAACTTCAGTCCAGCCTGTCTTCATTTTTGCAGCATACATTGCATAGCTAAATGTAGTATTCTACATTGAGAAGAAAGTGAAAACATTCCTTTAAGACAAAAGGAAAGAAAGCATTAATTCTAGAATTGAATCGTCAGATAAATCACTTTTGCTTTGCAGTGGAAGATTTTCTTTCACAGCATTTCCTTATGAAACATTAGCAGCTGAAAGTAGGAAGAGACTGTGCATCAAGTGCTTTCAGTTGATAGTGCAATAACTAGTTTCTCCCTAGTTAGACTTCCATTATGTTACCAGAAGACCAAGTAGCAAAAAAGTAATTACATTAGGCTCTAAGTAAGAATGGTGGACCCCTACACCAAGAAAAACTTGTTCATAAAAAAATTTGTATCTTTGATAAACATGTACAAATTCTTTAAAATACACATTTTTGTAGCAAAGTGGACACTAAATTAAAATATATTCTAATTTTTACATCATTTTTATATATATTGCTTACCAAAATATTCTCTAAATACATATTTTAACACTGTACACAAGTTAATAAATGTCTTAATGAAACTCATTAGAAATATATTCAAGCTGTCTCAACATTAAAAATTTAAATCTGCATATAACACGGGGTAAGAACTTCCATAAATTTAACATCAGTGCAGCTGCAGTAGTCAGTAACAAGAAATTTCTGCCTGTTAAGAAGTCTCCTACTTCGTTAAGGGTTTAATACGTCCTGGGTATTGAAGATTCCTCCTCTGAGCAAGCAGTTTCCTTCCTGAAGTTCTTCATGAAGGACTTGGATTTTAAGAGCTCAGCAGGTTTCACCAAAGCAGCAAGGCTTTAGTACTGAACATACTCAGATTGAAGGGACTGTGCAGAGAAGAAAAACTGATTAAAACTCAATGGGGAAGTTATACTTATTATATATATACATATAATATCCATTTTGCACTTAATGAGTAGAGAAAGGACAGGAAGGAGGAGTTAGAACAAGATTAGTGAAATGTTACAAGTCCTTTAAAACACCAGTTTAAAACAATACCTTAAAAATGCATTGGGAAAACAGATGATTGCAGGGGGTTGGAACTGGTTAAGATTTAAGGTCCCTTCCAACCCAAACCAGGCTGGGATTCTGATGAATAAAAAGTCTTATCTGAGAGAGCTTTTCACTGGACTAGTTATAAACAAAGAGCAAATAAAATCCCCAAATCATATCTTAAAACTGCATCAATTCATCAGAATACGAGAGAACTACTGGAGAAAAGCATGAATCCCAAGAATGGTTGGAACCCTGGAGTCTTCCATTTTCCCACTATTCTTAACTACTCCCCATAGAAATGCTCTTTGTTATATATAGTGAGAAGTGGATAATAGATACATAAACCTTTAGAGCTCTAACTAGTATGAAAAAAACACTTCTGTATCTTAGGTCTCGGTGTGTATTTCCAAAGTTGTCTTTTAAAAGCATTTTCACATCTTGAAGATCAGAGACCATCTGGATATTCTTTCCTAGGTTTAGAAAGTGCTGTCAGCATGTAAAGATTTGAATACCACTGACTAAAAAGGGTCTGTTTTTAGCACTGAATGGATTCAAAATGAAGGGTATCATTTAGTGGAAAATACTTTACTGCAAAACTAAACAGAAATAACAAGTATCTTTTCATCATAGGTTCAGAATCACCGTGGAATCACCAAACACAGTCATAAAAGCCCTTCCCCCCAACTCCATTCTCTAATAATCATTTGGATTATTATCTTTGGGGAGAGCACTTGTCAAGCTATTTATTACCTGTGTAAGAGTGAGGCAGAAGCTCTCAAAGCTTACTCGTTTTCAGATGTGCATTTTAATCATCAGAAAGATTGTTACACTTAATCAGAGCAGCTTTTGAGATGGATCCTTCAGAACTGAATTCCAAGTAAAGTTGATTAACAAACATTAAAAAATGCACGAAATTTAATTACACACTGTCATACGTTGTGCAGTACAGATTCATTTAAGCTTGGACAGATGAAATACGACCAGAAAGCACTGTATGCTTCTGGTGAGCCTGGGAACAGCTAGCATTAGTTGACAAAGAACTATGAACCTCAGCCCTTTACTTTGCAGACAGTAGTAACCAAGAATTCTACATCAGGATTTTAATAAACAAGAAACCCATAAATTAAAGATTCTGAAGTTTAAACTTGTCTGGCTTGTTTGCTTTTGCAGTTATGTAATTTGTGCCCTTAAATCTCTTCACATTGTCCAAAGAGATTAACTGTAATAGTTCAAAGCTTGTAACTGATTTTTTTTTTTTCCCTTTTTAAATATTTTGAATTTTCTACTTTAAAATTTACATTCCTACCTCCTATTTGCAGGGACTCAAAAGTATTTCCTGTGATTCTGAAAGCTTTATTCAAAACAAAAGATCCCAGTCCACCTTTACATGGCCTATGCTGGTATTTAACAAAATCTCTTTTAAAGCAGAGGTAAAAATAGAAGGAAAAAAACCCAAAGGAAACTGCTGAACTGCAATGATGAGAGTATAAAAATCAGTTAATTGAGTAGAATTTTCAGTGTACCTCTGCAGTGGTCCCATGCAGTCTCAAGCTTATCATTTTATACCCAAGTATCAGATGTTTAAAGAAAGAATTAGCTCCACTACAGTTAACCTTCATCTAATGAAGCTCATGCTGAAGCAACTGCATAGATCACTATCATTCTTCTTCAACAAGAGGCCCAGAAAGCCTCCTGGAAGAGAAAAGCCACAGACCCACCTGGGCACTAGAACCGTATTCACAAGCCTTTAATTTGAGGATCAAGTGAACTGTGAGTCAGCTTTCAGGAGGGAGCACCCCGAGAGCATTCAGGACAATTTGTTAGCACCTGAATGTGCCCTTTCTCCAAGTAACTGCAGTAAGTAATGTAAGAGATTTGAACTGAGCATCAACTCTCCTAAACCACTGCTGCAACACTCTTGTTGCAGCAGGCAAGAATTACCCTGAATCCACAAGATCCACTAAAATAAGTCTACGTTACAAAAAATGCATAGGCACTTGAGATAATCCTTTGTGTTTGCCGAATTTCCAGATCAGGAAGATGCACTGCTGCTTGTCTCTCTTTCTTCAAAGGCTGTCCTATATTCATTAATAGGAAGCTTTTATTAAGAAACACATATAAAGATGATGTATATAAATTTTAAAACACTGCTAACACTTCACTTTTTTGAGCATTTTCCATCTTGCCAGTTTCCATGACAGCTATAGAAGCAAAAGGTGACTCATCCTAAGACTACCCAGTTGCATACTCTTCCATAAAAATACATTTTAAAGAGTGATATTTCGATTTATAACTACTGTACGAACAAAGTCAAAGTCTTATTGTGGTACCTTAAATGCAGTTCTACTTGGTAAGAATATTTCTGCCAATTATAATTGTGAGAGATTCTGTTAAATCAAAACATCCCATTTGCAAATAAAATATTTCTTCTATTTGGCCAGAACGGCAAGTTTTCTAGTCTGTGAAAAATCAAGCTTTTTTTCTAATTCATGAGCATACAAGAGCAGAAACATGATAAAAAGGAAATAGATTATGAGCTTATACTGATGAAGGACAAAACCATTAGGAAAAAATAGCTGACAACAAGAGGAAGTGACAGTCATGTTTGGGATTTGTCTATGGAACAACAGTATTAATAAAAGTTTTTAAAGATTTTCATTTTAAACAGGAAAAGGCAAAAGAGAGTATTGAATAACTTCTCCATACTGAAGAAACAAAATAATACGTACTTGCATTGCATAAAAATGAAGTTCCCGATTCCCTCACTAATGGGATTGAAGAAAAATAATTAGAACTGCAGTTTTACTGTTCTAACCATCATAAAATGCTTGTGCACCACTTGTTCTGATAGTTAACAAACTCAGAATGATGATTTTCTAAAACTAGAGTACTTGTACAATTACAGAGGGGTAGCTTGAGATTTAACTCAGGTAAGGGAGCTTCTGCTAGTATAAAGAGGAGGAATATAATTCTTACTGTTCAAGAGTTCTTTGATGCAATAAGTTAAATGAATAAACATCACCACCAGTGTATGGAATAGGCTTCTGTCAGGTACAGCATCTGATGTGCTCCAATTAGAAAGAAGTGCAATGCAATGCAAATGCTTCCAGCAACAAGACTAAGGGTTGTCTGTCAAGACTTCCAAGTCATTTCAGCATCTAAAGCAGTCAAGTGGAAATCATTAAATAGAATTCTGCTTTAAACAGAGTTCTGCCAACCAGTACTGTTGGTATTAAGGCTTGATGCTACTCCAGATTTTGCTCAGAGCTCAAGATCACTGATGAATATCACCAAAACCAAAATAGCTGAATGTCAGTGGTTGAAGTGCTGAAACACAGCATTGTCCATGGTTGGTTAACGGGTCCTATTAAGAAGGGGGTGGGAGTGAGGGGGAAGATGCTGCTTTCCATAGAATTCCACATAAAAAATAAACAGGAATGCAGAACACTAGGCTAAAATACAAGTCAGTGTCTCTCATGAATTCCCAATGTATTACAGTTAACGAAGCCAACACAAGCTATGAATTTCTAAGCAGGCCAGCACTGAGGAATAGCTTTCTGGACCTGAAAAATGAATTTAAAAGTGTTGCATCTACTTATTGAGAAGGGATTTTCAACACTTGTAGAAGCATTTGAACACTTTCCTAAAGGATCTTTGAGCCAACTTTGCTTATTGGAAGACAATCAAGTTGAGATGACTAGCATGAAATACCTTCCTGACAAGAAAATAGGGTAATAAAGGACTACAACCGTGACACAATAAAGAGATACAAGTTTCAGATTGAAAGTGAAATTACTGTATTCAACCAGTGGGACTAATTACCAAGAAAAATGATATTGTCTTCAAAATAAACCAACATCAAGATGGATCTGTATTAGCAAGTAAGTCAGGAGCTCCCTACCACACAGAAAGCATTCAGAGATTAAATGATCAAATAATATACTCATTTTATACACTGTGACATCCCAGGAACTGCACTCAACTCAGCTGATTGTACTTAAAGCAGGTAACAATTCAGTGCACTACACTGTGATTGTGACAGATGCACAAGGTCATGGGGTGTATTTAGAAGCATATGCAACATTCAGGACATGGTTGAAAACCATCTTCCAAGCAGGAAAGCAATTTAACCATTGTTATATTGAAATAAGGTTGCTTCACAGGTAACTGGGAAGTGCCCTGGTTACATACAATGTGTATTAGGTGTTTGAGTGTGGCAGGAGACCAGCCACACTCAAAACCAGTAGCAGGTACAACACTAAAACTTCAGAATGAAACAATTTATCAGTGATAAGGAAACAGGAGAGAAAGGTGTCATATTTTGAAGTTAATTTTATGTGAAGACAGTTGAATTTCCAGGAGCTGAAATATAAAACTCGAAGTGTTGGTACTACTGAAGGGAGGCTGGCAGGTTCCATTAACTGTGGACAATATATTCTATTAAAAACACAACACTAAGATGAATAGGACATCAAATCTTTTCAAACCATATCAAATCAACTGTAAATTATTTGTAGATTTACAGTAGTAAATATGTTTATTTTTTCCCTAAAATATCTGAAGTTATTTCTGATTTCATAACTGAGTTACGAGTTTCTATAGTCTCTCTTTTCTGCACTTTGTAGAGTCACTTTCAAGTTGTATTTAATTTCTCCTTGCATCCTCTTCATACAGACTTTCACACAGGAAAAGAGCACAAAATAAGCCCAAAGCAGCACTGGAACAGGCTGCCCAAGGAAGTGGTGAATGCTCCATCCCTGGCAGTGTTAAGGCCAGGTTGGACAGAGCCTTGGGTGACATGGTCTGGTGTGAGGTGCCCCTGCCTGTGGATGATCTTAAGTTCCAACCCAAACTAGTCTGGGAGTCTATGATTCTAAGTTGTCAAGCAATGAAAGCTAAAATGGTAAGACCATCAGAAATACCTGTTTCCAAAATACCTTTTCCATTTGAAAAGGACTAGGTTTCATGTCAACTGAACTTGTTTTTCACACAAACCCTGCCTGTAAGAATGTTGTACTTTTAGTATGATACATAAAAAGGCTTCTTTAACTCTGTTACTGCATGAACATTAAGATGCATAATAAACTTATAAATGATGTTATAGATAATTTGAAATGAAAAAAAATCTAAAGGGCAAGAAGGTCCATAAAAAAGATACCAGGAAAGGTGTTAGGTGTTAGCTGAAGTTTAGGAGTGATTTATTTTCATGAACCTCCTTCATCTAGATGCTTGAAGGAGGTGGAAAAAAAGCAGATGAAATGAAAATTACTTTCAAGGTAAGAGACAAAGCTATTGTTTAGAAACATGAAAGGAAGTCAGAGAATCATGCTGAGATTGTTTTGCAACAGCTTTGCTTGCAGAAGCAAGGAAGATCAGGATTGCTCAGATGCCTGACAGTGCTGTTGTAACTATGAACTTACAGGAATTCACTGACTCTGGGATCGTGCTGGAGGAGTCGTAAGGCCCATAAAGCAAGGTTGATGCGTACTCATCTGTCACGGCGCTGGGAAAACTGGTTTGGCTGCTCAGGCTGTTGCCACTACTGCTGTTTCTGTTGTACAAGTTGTTGTTCAGTTCATGGTTATTGCTGTGAGGCAGCTGCAAGCTGCCATTCAAATGGCTGGAGATATGGCTTACAGAAAAACCTGTCCTAGAGGACAATGATGTCAGTTTGCTCTCATCATCATCTGAAGCAGCGTACAGGTTCCCTAGAGAACTGGCTAGTCTGGAGTTTATGGAAACACTGAATGGAAAACACATACGGGGAAAAAAGAAAAATATACACAAGATATGTACAGATACATACAGAAAAAATAACAGACAATTCAGAAGACATTAAGTAAATAACATAGACCAATCTGAAATCACTTGTGTTCATCTTCTAGCTCCCAACTAATAAAACCCAGAATTCTTTGTCAGGAGTTCCCAAACTTGGCTTATTCACGCACTACCATGGCTAGCTTTCACCTCTACCAAACTGTATGCCCATGAAGAAGGTTGTGTTAAAAGGTTTAGGCAGTGTCTGATCTACATGGAAGTACTTTGTGTACATAGAACAGTTTAAGAACTCCCCTTCTGTTTCCTGAAATCAGTAATGTGATACAAGTCCTCAAGTAACCAGGAAGTAGTATGATAAATTTTAAGAAAAATAGGGTGCCCTGAAATACCTCTTTAGTTATTTTAATTATTTGTGCCCAGAAGTTATTAAAAATGCATCAATCATTTAAATTTCACTTAACATCTATCATTACTTAGTTCAATAGTAATAATGGGTTCATAAAATTAAAGATCACTCAGTATTCTTCTGTCATTAATCGTGAATAGACTCATGGGAATACTTGATATAACCCCACCAGTACTCTCATGCCAGCAGTGTAAGTTTTGGGTTTTTGTTTGGTTTTTAAATCTGCAGGCAACTAAAGTTTGGCTGGTGGAGCAGCTAATCACTCTGGAAGAGCCCTTCTTACACCCAAGAACAGCAAGTCCTTCATAGACTGCGTATGTGCTGAAAACTATTCTGTACCATTGTACCAAAATGAGAAGGAAAAAAACTCAAACCTTTTAAGGTTAGAGCCCAAGGATGTCGGAATTTTGCTTATTCTTTCTGCAGATGGTGAATGAACTGCCATCACTTTGGAGGCCTTCAGAGGAGACATGGATCCTTCTGTGCTACCTGAAGTATTGAGTCTAAAGAGAGCGCAGAGTTTTAGTGAGAAGCAAGATTATCATGAAAATATACATCTCAGAAACACACAGACCCTTCTAGCATGGTATTCCAGACTGGTATTCCAAGAAGTGGGAATTCTCAGGTTTGAGTACTAAGAACTCAACAGTGCAAACACAACAGTCTGCCTGGTTTTAAATCTGTTTCTAATAAACTTTTCAAAGATCCCACTCATGTTGTTCTCCTGCTGTACCATATGGTGCAGCTACAGCTGGAAGTGTGGGGCACTGGACTACTCAAAAATGTTAGCATTAGAGCTGGCCATATTCACTTATTAAAAGCTAGCAAACAGCCTCACAGTAGAATGAAGTTCTCTCCATCTTTACACCAGGAGATATTATCATGATCAGCTCTTAAATGATGAAAAACCTTGGGTACAAGTCTCCAGCTACAAGCACAGCATGGCATTGAGCAGAAATAGCTTTCACTCCACACCAGGGAAGGGTAAACAGACACCTCCAAAGTTGGACATTTGGAGTAATCCGTTTCCAAAATCCAGGTTGTCACAAAACTGAAGAGAATGTGTTCCTTTCAGTATTAAGGCTTTCTAATGACAGATAGTTTTTATCTTACATGTTGTATTTTGGGGGGTTGGACTAGATGATCTTTTGAGGTCCCTTCCAACCCTTGGGATTCTGTGATTCTGTGATTTTAGATGCAGTGGGGTCACACTGAGACTCAATTCTGCCATTCCTGTAACTCTTGAAAATTAAGTCAATTTTCACTCTACATTTTATTTCCTTTTAGGAAGCATGGTTGGTGCTGATTTGAGATTAGCACAGGTCAGAAATGAACATTTAGAAAATGAGAAGAAACTAGTGGCTTTATTGGCTCCACAGAAAGTTCTAAGCAAAGCCTGTAGTAAAATATCCAGTGAGGACCCTGTATGAAAAGGTACTGAAATTCAGTATTTATCTTCTAAAGAACAGCACTGGTTGTATCCACTAAGCAATACCTCTACTTCATCTACTAAACCAAAACTGACAAAATTGTGATATGCAAACAACATGTAGCCAGTTTACGCATTTGAGACAGAGATAAAGTGGTTATGGGTTAACTGGTGGGCTGGTTTTAGCTAGGATAGTTGATTTTCTTCATAGGCTCTAGCATGGGGCTGTGGTATGGATTTGTGCTACACACTGCGTTGATAACATGGGGATGTTTTAGTTTCCACTGAGCAGAACTCACACAGGGTCAAGGCTGTTTCTGCCTCACCCCACCAGCAAGCAGGCTGGGGGTGCACAAGGAGCTTGGAGGGGAAGCAGCTGATCCCAATGGACCAAAGGGATACTCCAGACCGTATGGAGTCAGGCTCGGCACATAAAGCTGGGGAAAGGAGGAGGAGTTACAACATTTGTCTTCCCAAGTAACGGTTACGCATGATGGAGCCCTGCTGTCCTGGAGATGGCTGAAGCCTGACCATGGGAAGTGGTGAATGAATCCCTTGTTCTCCTCTGCCTGTGTGCGTGGCTTTGACCTTCCCTGTTCAATTGCATTTGCCTCAACCCATGAGTTGTTTCCTCACTTTCACTCTTCCATCCCACTGAGGGGAGGTAAGTGGGAGGCTATGCAGTGCTTAGTTGCTGCCTGGGGTTAAACCACCACCGTTACTCATCCTTCACTGCGGAACACTATCAATACTAGAAAACGTGACTGAGGAAATTACCTGTATGTGCTAATTATTTATTAAGAAGAATTCAGGGTATCCCCGAAGCACAGCTGTATCTCTCTGCCCCTTATATTCCCACTAGCATTTGCAGGTGTTAAAGTCTGTTATCAGAAGTCTGAAATTGCTGATGAACTGGAGTGATAATTCAAAACACTAAAAATATAAGCCCTGAGCCATTGAGAACTATAATGTTAAAGTTAATACCTGAAAGGTTGTGATCGTGACCGGGTGTGCAGTTTTGTGTCTTGCAGCCTAAAGAAACAAAAGCAGCAGCCTTTATCAAACCATAAAGAGCCTTTCCCCTCTGGCAAAGCATGCTCCCATGTCTCATCCTGGCTTTAAAGTACAAGACTAACAAGAGTTAGGAATTATTGACAATCATTATTTTCATTTACAGTTAAACAGAGAAGTATTTCAGGTTTATTTTTGAACTTCACATTTGTACTGGCTTTGAGAAGTTTAACATTTACATAGGGAGTACAGAAAATTATAGAAAAATAGAGAAAGTTCACTGAAGAATATTTTGCTTGAGACAAAAGCTTTAAAGTGCTAGAGAGAAATCTGAAGGTTTTGAGGTACTTTTACTTCATCTTTTACTGCTACATGGTAAGTAGGTAGCCTGAACAGGGAGACAGAAAACCATCAAATCTGCAACTAATAGTTATATATTGAGAGAGAGTTCCCCCACAGAAGGTGGTGCAACAACCAAGGCCATGTACTTGCCATAAAGATCTGATAGCACTGACTCAATTTCAAATTGCAGCTTCCCTCAGAATTCATCAACACTTACCTCAGAGCTCCAGCTGTACTAGAACATGTCCGTCTCCGCGTTTTTAAGGCATTGAGCTTATCTCCCTGCGTCATACCATCCCGAGCTTCCACATGTGCACTGTCTTCAAACTCATTCTGGGAAACATGAAGCATGCAAGCAAGGAAATCCATCAGATCCTTAGCAGTAGTTTCAAAGTGCTGAGCATCTCCTTTGCAAAGACTGTGATTTAAAAGGCAAATCCCTCTGCATGGACGGGGCACCGTTCTGTCCTTGCACAGTTCAGTAAACTCTTGTCACTCACAAACACACTCCACAGAGGTTTTTTGCAGAATCTGACCTCAAAGTGAGTTCAGGATGCTTGAGTCTAGTGCCAGTACTTATTTACTTCAAAGAAGTGAGTTTTTATAGGACATAAAATTCAACTCCTTCCTCCAGAACTATTTTTAAAGTTATCCTCAATGTGGAAGGGAAGCAGCAACACACAATTTTGTGGTACACACAAGAGAAGGAAGAAATTTAGATAACATTGTGTGTTCTGCAAGAGGAGCTAAAAATCCACTGTCCTAAACATTCTGTGAACTGGCAACACTGTTTAAATGCCTATTTATATTTTCTGACTCAAAATAGCCTTTTCTAAGACCCAGTTATTAAGCAGAGAACAGTTTCTTAAGTAACAGAGAAACATGAAGCTACACAAAGCAAGGACAGAACTATGATTTTTTTATTGCCAAATGAAAACAACTCATACCAGTTATCAGAGAGTCATAGAACCATCAGTGTTGGAAGGGGCCTCTGGAGATCATCTGGTCCAACCCCCTGCCAAGGCAGGGCCACCCAGAGCAGGGCACACAGGAATGTGTCCATTGTGGGTTTCGGATGGTTCCAGAGAGGGAGACTCCATAACCCCCTGGGCAGCCTGTGCCAGGGCTCCGACACCCTCATGTAAAGAAGTTCTTCCTCATGTTGAGGTGAAACTTGTGTGTTAGTTTATGGCCATTATGCTTCATTTGACCTCAGACAACTGTTTGTTTGCATTACTGCAGTTCCTATTGTGCCTAAGTGACCTTGCTGCTCTGCAGAAAACAGAATAGTGAGTGCTTTGTAAAATTTGCAATACCAATCTAGCCTGGATATAAGGCTGATATTACAAATGACAGCAGACCCTTTGGTTTAAGCTGTATCTTTTCCTGTTTCCTTCTGCTTCTCTTCCCCTGAGTCTTTGTATTGTAGGTACGCTACTTTCTATGTTAATTTGGATGAATGGACTTAATGAGAGTAGCTGCAAGCCAGAAGAGCAAAGATACATTCTGTTTTCATGACCAGCACTTGTGACTTTACAAAGGTCTGTAGAGATAGGACAAGGGGAATGGCTTTAACCTGCCCGAGGGGAGACTGAGATGAGCTCTTAGGCAGAAGCTCTTCCCTGTAAGGGTGCTGAGGCGCTGGCACAGCGTGCCCAGAGACGCTGTGGCTGCCCCATCCCTGGCAGTGTTCAAGGCCAGGTTGGACACAGGGGCTTGGAGCAACCTGCTCTAGTGGAAGGTGTCCCTGCCTATGGCAGGGGTTGGAACTGGATGAGCTTTAAGGTTCCTTCCTCCCTTAACCAAAACCAGTCTGGGATTTTATGTTTAATAGCTCCTGCCATTAACCCAGACAAAAGGTTTACAGAAGTAGTAACACAGTAAGAATTAATCTAATCATGTAAAGGTCCAAGTGTTGTATTAATTATAGGACAACATAAAGATTTTAGCTAGATTTTACTGAGGATTATCTGCTAGGCCACTGTTACCTCAATGTTGGTAAATTTTGTTTCACTGTCTTTCCCTGCCCAACAGTTACTGCGTGTAGCTGTTCTGTCCTCTGATTCTGAGCCCTTAACACATTTGGGGGACTGGGAACATCACTTCGGTTTCAGCTTCTAGAGAGCCCAGTATAATGAGGTTTCAAAATATAATCAAATATCCAAAGAGATAAAGACATAAATTAAATGTTTTGAAATCTGAATATTAACTTTAACATGACATCTGTAAAAAAATGAAATACACATAGTATAGAGAGGTTTACGGTAGAAGAAAGTGGCACTGTGAATTTGTATTGTGAACCTGAACATAAGCTGCTACAAAGTGTATAGGTAGTTGAGTTACCTGCAAGTTGCCTTGAATACTGGAAGCAGTAAAGTTGCAGTAGTAGCTCAGATTCAAAAACATTACTTCTACCCATACAGCTGTGTGCCAACTGTTTTCACTTGGTGTACAACATCATCCCTACACAGTGTTATATTTTCCAGTTAGAAATCTAGGTATTTAACTTTATGTATCTCAAGCCACAAACTTTTTATTTTCCATAGTACCTTTACAGATGATGATAGATCATGTGACAGATGCCCATGACATCCCTGTTTTTTTACATCAAGTTAAGGACTCCGTCAGCAATGTGAAAGCTCTTCAGTTATCACAGAGCTAAGACACTGTTAATCAAGTGCCTAGCTCCTCTAAACTGCTTTTTACAGATACTGTAGGAAACTCACGCAGAATGCACAAGTATGATTATGTTCATTCACATTTCATGCCTGTGCTTCCAAGAAATAACTGTAAGGTCCTTACCCTAAATGTATCAGTAATCTATAACACTTGTGATAAAGGGATGGCCATCTATACGATCATTAGCTAGATATTTGGAATAAATCCATTTTCAGGAAGAGAACTGATATATTTTTATCCAATCAACAACTGAACCCCCTCCTAAAAGAATGACCTGAATAATGCAAGTTTTTGAAGTTTGAAGAAATACCTGCATCAGTTTAAACCAGAACTTGTGAAACCAGAAAGTTGCAAAAGTTGTGAAAAAGCAACTGAGTACTAAAACAAGCCTAAAAAAATTAAACATTATCTGTAGCTAGTTATTAGCAGATCAACTCCATCTCTGCTTATTTGAAATCTTCCCTACAAACTCCTACCTGCCTATATTGATCCAGGTCTTGTATTTTATTCAAGCTGTCACTGATTGAAATGTCCTTCAAGCCACAAAGAACTCTGTTAATGTTTCCATCAAGGACTTGGTGTTTCTGCTTTGATTGGATGAGATCTCCCTCCAGCCATAACATCGCTTGCTTCCTTTGGGATACAAAACAAATCAATTCATATCAACAAAGGTGCAGACACATAAACCCAACAGGAAAGCATGCTACTCGTATGGATTGCTAAAAACCCCATGGATTCTGTACATCTTTATCTGGAAAGAAAATAAATTTAAATCTATCACAAAAAAGAAACCCCAACAAACCCAGAACATTTTCAGTGGTTAAAAATACCCCCCCCCCCGAATCACTAAACAAGTCTGTAGCCATCACAGAAATATTACAGACAACGAAACTTGAACTTACAAACCCCGACTGGATAAAGAGATGAACTAAAGAGAAATAAGCAATGGTATTTTAATAGCTTTTAAAACACAAAGATTCATTTAAAATAACGTTTTTATGTAATGTGGAGAATGAATGATGACACAGCACTTTCCAACTTGTTATTAGCATGAGCTGCGTGTATATGAAGACACTGTGCAGTAAAATCACAGCTGACCTGTACAGTGGAAGTGGTTACAGCCATTTAAAATTGAATGGGACTCTGCTATCAGTTGCAGAAAATAAAAGCTCATGTATTTCAGACATAATGCTATGATGTGCATGGGCCAAGCAGGCTTTTGTTGATGTGACTGTGTTATTCCTGAATAAGGAAGTTGCTGGGTAGGTACCACTCATGACTGTTCCATCCAAAAACTGAGACTCCACTACATATTATTGTAACAAAATTAAAGTCTTATACTGAACAGAGGCAAAAAGAATAAGGAATTCAGTCAGAATATACTAGCACTGGAAACTTTTCTTTGTTGGAAAGTATTATGGCAAAGCTCAAGGACCAAGCAGTCTGAGACAACTGCCTGAACCTGCTCCATAATACAGGGAAAGGTAAGCACTTCGAGGAAAATTTCACTACATTCCGAAAAAAACAGGAAGAGAAGGGAGAAGGATGGGGCAGGGGAAGAGGGAGGACCTCTTATTCCAGCTACCAGAAGGAGCCTAGAAAACATGCCTGAATTTAAAGACCTTTGAAGTCTGCAAGAATTCCATTTTTTGTCAGATGCAACTTTGCAGCTCTGAGGGCAAGAGATTTTATATGAGAATGATGTAACTGGTGTTTGCTCCCTCTTTCTCAATCCCATTTTGACACTACTGGTGACATTCCCTGGGTTTTGCCTTGTTGTCACAACAAGTATCTATTGGCATGAGGCTAAATACAAAACTCTTAATGAACAATACTACAGTATGAGGGAAAAAAAAATCTTACGGAACTTTGCCTATCTATAAAAATCAAACCAAATATTTATATACCACTGCAGAAAAGACATGGGTCCAGCTTTTCATATCTTTCAAGTAAACTGCACTTACTAACCACACTACATACTACCTCTCTCAGTTTTGCCCTACTATGGAAGTTATTTGTAAGAGCGCATCATCTAAGCATCAGTACAGTGTGGAGAAGTTAAATGTGCCTTCAGTGAGCACTTGCGGTTTGTGGAAGTTTGTGATTCAAAGTATTTTGACTAATGGTGGGCCAGATGTTAAATAAAGGAGTGCCCACTCAGTTGAACTGGAAAAATAGGAATCTTCATTCATGCTCAGTTTCTGTTACGAATTACAGTAACGCTTCTTCTTTATCTCCGATATCTGTTGGATTTTAAGATGCTCTCTACAGCTGCCTGCCAGGATGTTGTAGTGAGGTGGGGTTGGGCTCTGCTCCCAAGGAACAAGAGATTGGACAAGAGGAAACGGCCTCAAGCTGCACCAGGGGAGGTTTAGATGGAGCTGAGGAACAATTCCTTCCCCAGAGGGTGCTCAGGCATTGGAACAGGCTGCCCAGGGCAGGGCTGGAGTCACCGTCCCTGCAAGTGTTCACACACTGTGGAGATGAGGCCTCAGTGCCATGGGTTAGTGGTGGCCTTGGCAGTGCTGGGGTAAGGGTTGGGCTGGATGAGCTTAAAGGGCTTTTCCAACCCAACTGATTCTCTGATTCTAAGCAGTGTATGGTATGTCTTACTGTATTTACAGAGTTTCTAGCTCTTGTTTTCTTTTTTCCAAAATGAGACAAATTGTCCTGGTTTCAGCTATGGTAATTCTCTCCCTTAGCAGCTGTTGATGTACTGTTGGCATTAGTCTGAGAATAATGCTGGTAACACACTGAGGTTTCAGATGTTGTTCAGTAGCACTTCCCCAGTCAAGGACTTTTCAGTCTCTCATGCTCTGCCACGAGGAGGAGCACAGGAAGCCGGGAGGAAGCAGATACAGGACACCTGACCCAAACTAGCCAAAGGGGGATTCCAAACAACAGCATGTCATGCCCAGGATAGAAACTGGGGGCAGCTGGACAGAAAAGGGCTGATCACTACCTAAGGGTGGGCTGGCATCAGTCAGTGGGTGGTGAGCAACTGTACAGTGAAACACTTGAGTTTTGGTTTGTTTTTTCTTTTTTTTTTTCTTCAGAGGTATAAAGGGGGAAGAAAGGTGGGTGAGGGGTGGTAGTGTTATTCCTTCCTCTCTATTTCCTTTCATCATTGTCATTATTATTAATGTATTATTAATAGTGGGGAGCAGGGAGCAGTGGGTGAGCAGCTGCATGGTGGTGAGCTGCTGCTGGGCTTAAATCACCACACTAATTTGTGGTGTATCTTTTCCAAATGTTCTTTCTCCTAACAGTGAAAATGCCTCCAACTAAGTATCATCATGGTATCAAATAAAAGATACCAGCATAAACATTGTAATAGTAAATGCACAGTGTAGAAACCACCATGAAATTAAACTTAATGCCTACATCTCTGAAGCCACTGCGATTTTGTCATTCAGTTCCAGTCAGAATCAAAACTTGAATCACCCATTCAAGCTATCTGCACATGAAATGTTCAACCTAAAGTGTACAGTCCATTTTGAGAAAAGCTGTATTAAAACCATCCCTTTATTTTGCTAATGACCATTAGCTCCAAATCAGAAACACTTCATGCATTATGCTAGGAATCTGACAGAAGTCAGGAGCTGTCCACTACATACTTAATCTTTAGTTACAAGAAAGAAAAAAAACATAGCAATTATACTAATGTGAGATTAATTTTAAGTGTCATCATTGGCTATATATGAACACAAACATGCAGAGTCTTAAGACCCTCTGCCCCTTAAGGTGACAAAAGACACAGCACCCCAGAGAAGATGATTCTTAGCAAGTTTGAGTTCAATCCCAAGTTGACTAACCTTAAATATACTGCAACAGGCAGTAACATACGATGTCAGTAGACAGAAAGTAGATCCTATAAATAGTGCAAGATGGAGAAGGGTGTAGAGAAGCAGTTCATTCTTAGTAGCAAAGAAGGTATACATACTCTTCCAAGAAGTGTTGCTGCGGTCCTATAATAGAGCCTGGTCGACATATTCTTATCCAAGCAATGGCTTCAGCATGTGTGAACTTGTAGTGTTTCATTATGTAGCAGGCAATCAGTGTTCCTGTTCTCCCCAGGCCAGCTACAGAAACACAAGTATCAACAGTCACATACAAATTCATGAGCATTTCTTAAGTATCCAATTAAAGTAGGATAGGAGAAGATGTCTTTACAATGTTATGCACCACCTTAATATTTGAAGAAAGAACTTCTGTTAGTATCCATCACATAACTGGATTTCAATGCTGCAGATACAAGAACAAACATATACTTGTAAAAAGTTAATAGGGTTCAAGAATGCATGGAGCGATGATCACTCCCACAATTCTACTTCCAAGTTGGTTGTTTGGGGTTTTTTTAAAGGCTGATATTACAAAAAACAGCAATTACCAAGCCACTGATATACAAAATTACACACTGGTCAAAATTCTTGCTGTTTCTACAGGTAGCAGTGAATACTTCTATAGCTTGGTTTCACAACAGAACTGCTTCAAAAAGAAAAAGCCACTGGGTGAGGAGACACATGCTGCTCTCTGTTGTGATGTGCACATTTATTTGCATGTATTTGAAGTTTGATTTGTAAAATATGTGTGTTGGTCTCTCAAAGGTACTCTGATTTTGGTTTTTACTGGTTTTAGAAATAGGAAGTTTAGCAAGTGCATATCTAAGTCACTAGAAAAGTATATTGTATTCCTTCAGCAGCTAAGCCTGGAGAATAGCAATCTACTGTTGATCACTAGTTTATACTCTCACTCAGCAGATGTCCAGCTTATTAATGCCAGAATTGCAGGGTTCTAGCCACAGTAGCAACTTGTTAGCAAATAAACTTATCTTAGATATGCATGCTTATTGCTCATGGAAAAATGATGAATAGCCTGTTCTTGTTTCAGACCAGCAAAACATTCGTCTCCACAATGTCCTTACACAACTGCAAACATAAATCAAGCCAAACCCTTCAAAACCTTTGTTAATCATCCTCGATTAAGCATGTTTTGTGGCTGCTTTGCTGAAACAGGCAGGTTTGAAATGCTGGCATCACAATAACTCACATTAACTTGAAATGTGGAAAGTCATGCTCCACAGAAAAGTGAACAACAGTCCAAAAGCACAAAGAAAACCTTTCAGTCTTTTGCATTTCCTAACCAATTATCATAATGCTGTGGAAGCATAATGCAAAAGAGAAACCAACTCAAACTCAGGCCTTCTAGCGATACTAAGAAAAACCAAGACAATGAACAACAGATTGTCAGTTACTGTAAGTAGCAGCGTAGGATGAAAGAACTTACTATGCACATGAAAATAACAAACATTTATCATATATTTAGCCAAGTATCATAAGCAATATTACTTTCATGACTGGAAAGTGTTATTTTCAAATGCTTTATTTCTAAATAAACTATGGTTTAATACTCATCTTGAACTTCAATCTGAGAAATAACAGTGCACACACCTTTACAATGTACAGCAATAGCCCCATCAGCGTTCTCACAGATATTGAGGAACCTCTGAACTATGCTGTCACTTGGTGTGCTTCCATCTATGAAGAACAGGTCATAATGCTCAAACCCAGCATCGGTGAAACGTTTGGCCTCATAAATTTTTTTGTTGAGTCTTATGATTGATGTGACATTATGTTTCTTGAAATAGGGAAAGTAGGCTTCAGGTGCATGAAGAGGATAACCTAGGAAAGGAAGAAGCACAAGGAGTAAGTTGAAATTCAGCAAAAATCTGATTGTGGTTTTTAAATGACCAGGTTTCCTTTTAGCTGAGCCAAATCTCTCTTTTCCCTCTGTTGATCAAGTTTCTCTTTTTTATTCCATTAGAATCATATAGGTTCTTCCCATTATGCCAAGAATCTTCGGTAGTAAAGGCAAGCTTCTTTTAAAAGTCATTTCTTCACTACAGTCTCTTTTGCTTTATGCAACTCACCTTTAATTCTGCACACTTATTGTATCAGGTGTCAGGTTCCAGGAAAAAAGGAAGGACCTGAATTTCTCAGACATTTCATCACTGAAGGGAAGCCACTGACTGTTGGAAGAACTGGAATTCTTCTAGCCAAGAACTCTAAAACCTTTGGAATTAAGCTCTATCATTGCATATAAAATGTTCACTGTATGATTATTTCTGAAGATGAAAATTAACCTATAAACCTCTCATCTTCTGCTCACTGGGTGAGACTGTTCCACAAGCTAGAAATGGGACATCATTACAATATGTACCATACCATTTTCAAGTTTGCTTTTTGGGTGTGGTCCACTAAATGCCAAAAATTTTCCCGGAACAATCCAGTTGAAGTCACCATTTTCCACTCGCTATAAAAAAATGTCAGGAAAAAAGTCATTTTAATATCTGTACAGACAAGGTTCAAAAGAATTAATCTTGAGTTTATTTTACTTTTCACTATGTTGTTGCTACCTTAAATGAAAACACTTCAAATGGAATTAACCATCTTAACTATATGGGACAAAAGAACCAATCATAAGCTGCTTTGCAGAAATCTCTGCATAAAATGAGACACAAATCAGTTTGGCTGAAGTTTTCCAAGCAAAGCAGAAAGATCCTCTCTCTAAGATATTTCTCTCTTAGAGGTTTCAGCAGTTTAAGATACCTATTTATAAAATTTACAGACACCAACATCCTTGTATATTTTAATGAAAGAATATGGAAAAATGCTTCCCTTCCCTGTAAGGCATTGGCTAAAAAAAACAATTCGCAGAAAACAAATTAAAACCAATTAGTCCTTAGAAACAATTCTAATTTCCCTGTAGAAACAAAAATCTACATCTTGGCATAAGCTCTGATGAGCCAGTAATCACAGAAGCAAAGTATAAATCAAACAAAAAGACTAAATTGAGAACGTTTTCAAACTGGGAGCTTTTGCATTTCTTGCCCACTTTTAAATAAAAACTTTAAAAAAGGCTTTTCAAATCCTGGCAGTGCCAGCAAACTGGAAGCTTCTTTGGAAATATCTGACTAAAGTGCAAAACTGCCTTCTTTTATCCTAAATGGAAAGCACTCATTCCTCATGTAGCAATGCAGTTATTCTCAGTGTGACTTTTAAGGACATGGCACTTAGTTCCCTGGCATTATTAAGCTTATGTTTTCAGCTGTCAGCTCCTCAAAACATCCTAATGAGTGAAAGGATCTGATAATGGACATTACTGTAACCAATTCACCCACTGTTTGCTTTGCTAAGCCCATTAGGCTTGCTCTAAATGTCCTCACAGAGAGAAATCTGGAAGTGAACAAGGTTGCATAAGGAGCAGTGAACCCATCTTCCAGCCAGGCCAGGACCCTACAATCACCCGGAGCTCTGTCACAAACTGTGCAATGCCAACATTGGAGCATCTCTACCTCTTCAGGGAAGAGGTCCTGTTCAGTAAGTCAAATGTATTTTTGTACCTGTATTACCAGCTTCATTTGTGAAATAAGTAGCTCTTTATAGCTACATAAGTTACTGTGAATACTTGATATATTAACCAATCTGAATACAGATGTATTTGTATATACTCAATACTACATGCAAACAATGTTATGATTAACAAAAAGGAAAACTTGAGTATTTTATACCTAGTCCAACAAAAGGGGAATTAGCTGCCTTGATCATGGAGTGAGGTGGAAGAGCTACAAATGTGAAATAGAATTTTCTTTAGTTGCCCCCTTTAAGTCTTATGCAACTTTTCTGCACAAAACTACACATTTGGAGACCTAATACAGCAGAAACCTGGAACATTTAAAGGTTCTGAAATGTAGCACAGGATGTATCTAAACATACAAAGCTGACCACGAGGCATAAAACCACAGAAGACCTCAGACAGCAGGCAGCTACTTAAACACCATTCACACACATGTGCTTTTCACAGACTGAAGTAATGTTCAGTATCAAACAAAATAATGAGACAGTCAATTACTCTAATATTAGTTTTTCAGGCAGATTAATGCCTAATCCTAAGTATTCTCAACCATCCTTTGTGTTTAGACAAACCTCTTCCTTTTGTACATAGAGGAAGGAAACCCCCAGCAATTTCATATTTTACATTTTAGTTACTGGTCATTGAATTTTGGTAATTCAGCACATACTATTCCAATTTCCCAATTTAACCATTCTGGAACATTGCAGTGTACAGAAGTCCTTCTACAAGTGCTTTTAAGTTTAGTGACTAGCTATACGCTACAGTGTGCCTGCTGCGGCCAACATCTACTGTAGATATTTGTGTTGCAAATTCAGTTTTTCCATAGTTTATTCCTCTCCTGACCTCACCCTCTTTCTTGGGGTATGCCCTATAGCCGTATGTTTTTCAGATAGGCACTGAGTCACCCATAGCTTCTTGCTTTTAAAACAGTTGTTTACCAAATGTTACAGACATTTAAGAAAAGCAGTTGTCCTTATTTGATATTAGAAATATTCAGCTTAAGGGAATAAATTTTCAAATGTTTTCAGACTGAGCAAGTTTATTCTCATTATTTCCACGTTTTCTGAAACAAGAAGGGCTGGGAGGGAAAAATACTGGCTACAGTAAAGTAATACAACTCTAAGAAGAGTTTAGTACATAGGCAGACGTTCAGTACACCTCTAGTTTATGTATCTTTCCCCTTAACCAGAGCAACTTCAGGAACTCAGAGGAGTTCCAAAGACAAAGTCCAATACAACCAAGGGAAATGTTAGACAGCTCATGAAAAGTGCTCTGGGCCAGCTGTATGTGCAGCTTCTGTACATAGCCCAGGTCACAGCTGAAGCAGGGCCATATCTTAAAGGTTCTCTCCAGCAACAGAGCTTGAGATAACTGTCTACTATTAGCCATTAAAAGTGTGTATGTTAGAGAACAAAATTCTAGAAGCATCTAGAGTCAACCAGAGTATCTATTCTTCAGGTGTGGGGTACTGTATATTCTTATTTATTTTAGGTATTAGTTTTCTGGGACTTCATTAGGGAAATATTTGGATGTATTTTCATAATTAGAATGCCCATATAATCCATCCTTATTACAAAAAGTTCAAAATGCGCTTAATCTCTGTAGCTATTAAAAATATTATCATATATTTGGGACTAATGGCATCTCAGGAAGCAGCTCAACAAGTGTTGGAAAAAAACACAGACTCTGTAGGTCAGCTGAGAGACCTTGGAACGTATCCTGAGGGAAGGTTGGGAAAGCATGAAAGAGATATCAGAAGCCAGAAGGCCTACACGAAAACAGTAGAGTTATTACGTGATACACTGAAAGGGCAAGGGTATTCATCCTGCATGTTTTTCACACACAGCACACAGGTTTGGATGGACATACCTTATATATGAACACTGGCTTTTACTTGAATTAAAATGCATTTCCAGTATCTTTTTAAGTTGTGGGGCCCTGTATATTCTAACTTATTTTAGGTAAACAAAACACTCAACTCATTATTAAGTGTACAAACCTCATAGTGTTCATATTCATCCACATCAAATGTCTTAAAGTCAAAAAATCCATGCTGCAAGGCCTAAAAGGCAACAAAGTGTAAGTTTATACGAAAATATTATACAGAATCTAATTTTATAATACTGTTTTTGAACTCAAAACTAAAACACTGAATGTTTCTGCTTTTGTTTTCTCGAAGCTTCTATGTTAAGACAACATAACATTTTACACAGATTAACACATAACAAGAACTCCAACGAAGTCACTAAAGCACATCAGGCTCTTTTTTAGCCTTTCAAAGACATTACAATGGGACATAAGGTTGTTGCATATCACTTAAATCATCAAATTGATTCTCCCCATCCCACTAGGTACATATGTTTTTTATTGTAAGGCAGATGACAAATTAAAAAGCAATTCCCTTTTTGTCAAACATCCATTTTACAGTTTCTATGCTGAATACATATTCATGCAGCTGGACATAAAATATAGACCAATAAGTTTATTGATTTTTTTATACTTAATATGATACTCTGACTTTATCACCATCATACCCAGGTAAAATGGCACATGCAGGATAAAATGCTGTCTGTAACCTGTGTTTTGTTATTTGCTTTTAATACACATTCCACTGATAGAATGACTTTCACTAGACTATAATGCCCAGTATTTATTATAGGGCTGAAAGAAGTCGAGTTTTGTATTTGATTACTGGACTATTATTAAATACGTCCATTTTGTACTAACGGTTTCCGTATAATACCATACCAAAACCCAATTCTATGAATAAGGAATTCATAGCCTGAATTTCTTCTAAGGAACAGGTGGAAGACAGCTCTGCAATCTAGTGCATTGAGAGAAGTACAGACGTTACACAACACTCTAGGATTAAGGTGTGATAAAACCACACCACAGGTCTGTGATTTAAAAAAAAAAACAATCATCATCACTGCCATTATTTGCTACATATAAAGCACCTTTTCGAAGACAAAAGAAAAACAGCTTTGTTATAGACAATGCAGGCTCAACACTGGGGCTGTCATGAAACCTAAGGTACCACGAGGTTTGTCTTAACAGGAAAACCTATCTCATTTTAGCATGTTGGCTGGCTGCACTTCAAAATTTGTGGCCCCCCTGAATTATATGTTATGTAATTCAAACACCAAATTTACTCAGGTAGACTGAGATTTTTCTTTAGATTAAGGTTTTTGCTCAAAGTGTTTTTTAACTCTGTAGGTGAACTGGACAAAAATTCAGTAAGAAATTTTAGGGGAACAAAGGAGGAAAAATTGATGTTCAAAGTCCTGACGAGTTTGTTGCAGATAAATTATAGGGACTGCACTGACTGCTTCACAGAGCTTCAGGAGCTGTAGAATGCCACACAAATTAGAGTCTTGCTGTTAACTGACAGCTCTTTTCCCACCCCCACAGAACTAAAAATATTAAGCTAGATCTCTGTTTTCAATTTTGAAGAAACATTTGTTTTGCCACACTTATAAGAATTACAAATAATCTACAAACTGTCTGTATAGACCTGTTCACACAGGTTACTCCCTTCATCAAGATCACTGGGAAATGATGGACAAAATCTCATCTTTGCTTAGAGTATGAAGTACATAACACAAGGTTGCAAATTTAAGATGTGATGTTACATTTTTAACAAAGCCATACTGGAGCCTAATCTTCTCCAGGACCAGGCCTGTTGAAAGTGACACATCAGAACACCAGTAAGATATATTAGTTTTCATTCTTTGTAAACAATTAGAAGATGCAGGTGAACCAAGTGTTTGGGGGATAAATTGGGACCAAGTACTTGCACGAACAGATCAGATTAAATCACAGGATACCTAGATGTCTGTCACATTTGACTTTATGAACCTTTGTTATTGCTTTTTACCACTCATCATAAATGATCTATTGCAGATCTATAGCAGAGCTAGTGCGCTACCTCGCAGTGTTAAGAACAGCCAGGCCTGGGGTGTTTGCACATTCTGATTCAGAAGGTTAAGTTCAGAAAGCTGTTTGAGACCAGCCAGCTAGATAAAGGTGTAATCTTCCTCCATGTTCACTACTTGCAGTCCTCAGTAACTTAGGCTTCATGACAGCATACACCTCAACTCACAGCTTTTGCTTTGAAACCAGATGTAATATATTTTCACAGTATTTTCCTTCTTGTTTTTCAAGTCAATTGAAAGTCCGTTTTGCTAAGGAAAAGTGTCATTACCTTATTTATTCCCTGCAAACAGTCCAAGATCGTAAGATTGTACGTGCAGTTCCCAAATGAAGCATCCCTATGGATTTAACACAAATTAATTTAAGATACACAGAATTATTTGAAGAACTTGGGGAAAGGCAGCACACAATGGAATATATTCAAGTTATTTCATCCTCTTTAAGAACTCTGAATTAAAGTTCAAAGAAGATATCTTGTAGAAGCTTGTTGATGCGAAAGCACACTCCTACCGAAGATGTAGCCCCGTGGAACTGCAGTTAGATACTACAAAGCATTTTAGAGTGCCATTTTACATCAGCAACTGCATGCCCTTTACCAAATTATTCACCCTGTCCTGGAACAGGAAGCTTTGCATCCTCTCTCAATTGTGTAAGGATAGTAGTAAATAAAACAAAACTTTTATCCATTACTCAAGTCTTCATTGAGTTGTGCTGTCTAACAGGGAAAGGCAAATAGACTACTAGTTTGGATTTCATTTACAGGCTCTTGTTTTGATGCCTGATTACAGATGTGATTCAAAAATACCCAGATGTACTTAAAGTTGCTTAACCTCAGTTCTGCCACTATGAAAATAACAATTTCTCTTTAAAAGATGACAGGATACCCCAAAGCAAAACATATTTAAGTGGTTAGAGAGAGCAACATAAAACCAAATAACATCACCAAAAATATCAGCAATAAATGCAGTGTGGCAAGAAGACAAAGTACTTTTCAAAGTGTGCTTCAGAGCAGTTTGCATTTCAGCAGGGTTCTCCCTGGGCAGATTATTTCCTAAGCACTCATTGAAGGAATGTTTTCTAGTTTTGCTCTAAGCCATCTTATCCAGAGTGCTAAGAACTGCAATTCAGCAGAGCAGCAACATTTTAGGTTTCAGCCAGCTACAGCTCTAACCTATATTAGAGTCAAAATTGCAATCTTCCTTGAAAACTTTCCTTTGTTGATAGTCTGTTTGCTCTAAGTTATATGAAGGTTTTGTATTGATGTGCTCCTTCAATTCCAAGTCCTTTAAGACTAGAATATTCTCTCTCAGTCTTTAAGAAGAGAGTAAGCAGCTTTGAGCAAGCAATTTTGATAGAAAATGTATTTAAGCAACTGAAAAGCTCCAATTTTGGTAATGTCATATTACAGGCAGGCTATTCTAGAAAAGCTTTCAAGTGATTAGAGTATTAAAAGATACTTAGTACAGTGTTTTATAATAGAACTTTCAAGTGTGAATAAACCTTCAAGATCCAAATCCAACAAAGTAGGTTTTCAAAATGAAAAGCCAGAAAGTATTTTCATTACATTAGATAAGCAGAACATACCAAAGCTGTAAAATGTAACTTAACAGACAATACATTTTTGACAAGAGAAAGTTAGATAGCATTTTAGCACAAAAGGATTTTAGCAAACAAAAGGGTCTTCCAAGCAAAAACAATCTTAAGGCCCCCATGGGAACATATATAACAGAAAAGCTGCAAAAGCTGCAACAGTTTTCTGAAGGGGCTGACAGAAACAACAAAACCTAAACCAATGCAAACCACAAAATTAACTATTTAGAGAAACATAAATGGAAGATATGATTGTAGCAGATGTTCTGCAGTACATGTTATTTTGCTATAGCAAGAATCTAGTTTTTATTTCCTCTATAAGTACCACTTCAACTGATAAGGCATGCGATACTGCAGTACATAAACACAACACCAGGGAAAAAAGCCACATTCTCTCTAATCCATTAATAGCACAGAGCAAGAGAGGGAATGGAGAAGAGGAAGGGATACTGAACTCAACTGCGCTGTCCAAGGTAAGCCTATCACAATACCAGGTGGGCAGTATTCATAGCTACAGTGCCCACAGACAGCTATTTCCAGTGAGGTGCACAGGATGCTGGCAGCTAACATCCACTGCTACATCAGCCATGCCTCAAATGTCTCATTTCTGTCACTGTGCACCTCACCATTAGAGTAGGTGCACTCTGCCTGGAGAAAACAGCTCTGCTGACACATGCCATCCACACACAGTGGAATAACAAAGACTGAAAGCCAGCAAAATTCAAAACAGGCAAAGGTTGGGAATGAACAATTGAAAAGCTGTTTTAGCCTGATCTCAAATTCCCAGAAACTCAAAGAGTAGCAGAATTCTAATGTTGGGGCTATTTTTTTAAAAGAAACACAATACACTGAGTTAACATCTGAAAACCTCACACACACCCTTCCCCCCCCCCCCCCCATTTATCTTTTGTCTAGGAATGCAATAATGGATTGAAACCATAAACAAGCACCAGACATGAATGACAGTACAGCAGGGTGGTAAATAACACCTGGAACCAGCGGCTTGATATTACCTCATGCTTCAAGAGGAAGCATGAATGTATGTATTTTTTCTTTCCTAGTTTCCAAAAGCACAACTGGCTGATCAGAATCAATTCCAGTTGCAAACCCCTCTCTGAAACTTCCTGCTTTATGCTCCAGAATTTTAAGCTAAGATATCTACAGGTATTAAAGTTTAGGTGCAAGAACAAAAAAATTCATCTGGCAGAAGTTTTATGTACAATCCATGAGAATTCCGCATACTGGATCCATTGATACAGTACAGCAATATATGAACTACAGGAAAGGCAAGTGCCTGTGGACTCTTAGGAAATGAAACCCAAGTTACTCATTTCAGAACAGAAGCAAGCAACAAAATACACCTTACAGAGCTGTTTTAAATGTTAAAAAAAAAAAGTAAAAAAGTTTATTTATGAAGCCCAGTTGCAGTGTACTTATGAAGTGCCATTTTTTAACTTCAATCTTCCTATTAGATGATTTCATATTATTCCAGAGAAGTGTTAGTAACCCTGTAGAGTTCAGTCAAAGGGCATTTTGCTGAAGTGTTAGACAGGACAGATGCTTAATGACAATCTTACTGCCAACAGTATGTCTTGAAAGGTCTAGAAATACTTAAAAAGTAAAGATGAAGAGTCTATCATGACCTGATTTCCTGAATGTTTTCAATAAATTACTTGAGTAAAATATCCTCCTGTTTAGCGGGAGTTGGCTGAGGTATTTTAAGCCACTTACTGTTTTGGTTCTTTCTTTGTTAAAAACAAACCTAAAACAAATCTCCCCCCACTAATCACCTCGATAACTTCCTCCAGGCAGGGGCTGAGTTACCAAGTTCTTTTTCTATCCCTGAGAAATGGGTCAGAAGTCATGTCAAATCATTAGAATCACAGAATCCCATACTGGTTTGGGTTGGAAGGGACCTTAAAGTTCATCCAGTTCCAACCCCTGCCATGGGCAGGGACACCTCACACTAGAGCAGGTTGCTCCAAGCCCCTGTGTCCAACCTGGCCTCGAACACTGCCAGGGATGGGGCAGCCACAGCTTCTCTGGGCACCCTGTGACAGCGCCTCAGCACCCTCACAGGGAAGAAGAGCTTCTGCCTTAGATCTAACCTGCACTTCCCCTGTTTCAGTGTGAACCTATCACCCCTATCATTACAGCCCCCGATGAAGAGTCATTAAGAAGCTTTGTAAATATTTAAAAAACTAAATTTCATCTTATTTTCTTTAATCCTCCTGAATTAATGCATTTACTGGAGAAAACTAAATCATTAAAAACTAACGCAGAGCGGCTAGTTCCATTCCACCACTCTTCCTACTGATTTTGTGTAAATTTCCAGACCATGGATAAAAATACTGGATACTGTCAGAAGTAGTATTAACCTTTACAAAAATCCTGTTCGAAATGCAGCTCTTCTCATGCCAGATTGAGAAGTCAATTATATAGCACCCGATCCACCAGCATGCATTTTCTTTCTATCAATGACAGACATATTTCAAAAGGTTTAGAGCAATAATTAATAAAACTAATTTTAGCTTGCATAAAATGCAGTAGATTCTGAATGGGCCATACTTTGCACCGCAGTAACACCAAATGAAAAGCACTGTTATAAGGAAGAGCATTGTAAAATAAAAATACATTTACTAACCTTGAAGAAACATATGGCTTTACATGAAATTAAAATTAATTCCAGACATTCTTCCTATTTAAACTTATTATCTTTTATTCTACAGTCACCATCCTATCCTACAGAAAACTAATATATGTACTTATGTTTAAGGCAGTAGTAACTGGGACTACCGGGACTACCTGTTGGTATAGAAAAACATTCCAGTGTTTTTACTGGTATAAACCAAGCTATTTGCATTTCAAATGTTAAAACTTTTTGTTCAACTCAAAAGTCTGTTTAAAAAAGCACAGAAGAGAAAGCAAGACCTCATTTCATCTCAGAATGATATGAAGAAGCACATACAGACATCTCTGGCACAGTTTTACAGTGCGGGTGCTCCAATTCCTGTTGCTGATGTTTCATTACAGTATTCTTCCAGTCTTCTATGGCCAAATGCATAACCACCTTGATTTGAAAATAGTGTTTTACCACCACCTGATAGCACTCTATTTGCTTTCAAAATGAGAAAAATGTGTCTGTTTCTATGAGATACAGATGTGGTATGAATCTGAGCTGCAAATCCCACATCTGATTTCACAGTTACTGTAGCTGACCTCAATACTGCAGAACACTTTCCTTCCACCAAACCTCTAAACACTATCGGTAACAAAATAGCGTTTGCCAAGCACTTGCCAATAAAGAAACAAAACCCAAAAGCTACAAACTAAAATCTAGCTCTGAAATTCATGTTGTATCTAGAGTCTGAACACACACTAAAATATACTGGGTTCTCTTTAATATAAAGTCAATACAGAGCAGTTTGAGGTAAAAATGTAAAGCTTAGTTTCACAGTAACTGGTATTTATAATGATTTCAAATGTGGTTAGCACCATTTGCTTAAACGGAAGCAAGAAGTTACAGTGCAAAATCTTCAAATGACTTGAGTGTCACAGTGAATCGGCCAAAAATAATTGTCTCAAAGAGAGTCTTGCCTTATCTTCCTGCTTTATCTCTAATTTTTCTATGATAAAACCAAAATCAGAACATTTCCCTGTATCTTGCAAGAGGGGTATTCTGATTTCCTTCCACCCCCAAGCAGTATTTGCTGAAGCTGTCTTTAACTGAAATACCAGCTAAAGATCTAAGCCGATTAAAGCTTTTTGAGGTCACTGAGCTAGAATAAAGTAGATCAGTTTCCCAGTGATCACTTCATGTAAGCATTCCTCAGTGCTCCATAAAGAATGACAGTCCTGCAGCTTCTACCTATTGAAAATTATCTATTTCTTTTCCCAAATAGAAGACATTTCAGATATCAAAATAACCAACTTGTTAAACAGTCCGGCTGTAACAATTCCAACAGAGAGGACCTATACTACAGAAGCTTGAGCCCAGAACTTAGATATTGTACCAGAATAAATTCATGTCAGTAAGAACTGAATACCAATGATTCAGTATCTCAAATTCTTTCTTTCCTAGACCTTAGAATAGGAAGAATGAAGCAAGACATTTGGCTACGGTTTTCATTATACATAAGTGAGTTTAGCTCTTTTCAAGACACTGAAGATGTGAAGGAGTACAAACTTCCTCATAGCACCAACTTGTCTCTCCACAGTAGAGCTTGATGCCAAGCAGCTATAGCCCCCCTCACCTGCAACAGCTTCCAGCACAGGTTCATTTGCTGGAGCCTCAGTATCATACTATATTTTGCACCAAAGGTGCCTTAAGTGTCTCAGAATGGACAGGGGGAGAAAAGAAGCTGAAAGGCCCTGGAAAAACACAGAAGGGGGAATCAATTCTTTCTTCCCCATTCTCAGCTAACATAGATTGTCCCACTGCAGGCCCTCATCAGACCCTACCTGCCTTCCTCTCAGCCCCAGTAATCCTTAAACTCCTTCTGCATCTATTCTAGCTCTTCCTATCAATTCAACTCCCAAATATCCCCTCCGTATCAGATTCCCCATTTCTTACCTAGCCTCCTATCTTGTTCGAATCCTTCAGTTTCTTTCCTCACCCCCCTTGTCTCACCTCCTGTACAGCTAGATTACACAGTCTTCCTTCCCAGCAGGACAAACTATACTGCAATAAGAGAATCTGCTTAGGCTCTAATCCAGTGTCAAGACCTGACATAGTCCAAAGCAGCTGCAAAAGAAACTTAAGTGCTTTCCAGCCCCAAGCCATATGTGAAAGAACACTCAAGAAATCAAAATGTTTAATTCTTCTAGCAAAAGCTCGTATCACTATATTCCTTCTAGAAACAGCATGGCTCTGCGGAAGACTGCCTCCCTCACATCCTCTAAAATACCCAAAGCTTTGTGTTAGAAACCCCAAAACCATACCAAAATCCACAACACAGAAAACCCACCATGAAACACACATCCTCTCCCAAAGAACTACAGTTTTAGCCAATCATTTATCTCACAGCAAGCCAGAGCTTGAAACACAGGGACAAAGACTGCAGAGGACTGATGTTTCAGAAGGCTGCCTACTCTCTGTTATTGCCCTCTTCTACTGAAGCTGATAAACAGAACAAAGTGGTTATACTTTTGTAACGATTTTGACAGGCCGGACTGCAAAACCTGAGTAGTCTCTTCGCTAGATATTACCTTCAAAATTTTCAGCTAGTGTTCTCTCCCAGACATGCAATGCTCTTTATATATAATATAAAGTTATCTTTAGAAAATCTTACGGGGTTTTGTGATTTTTTTAACTCCCTCCTTTGCTGATATACCTCTTTTATTTTGGAATAGAATGCTATGAATTTAAACTTACAAGAACGTGCTTTGAACAATTAACACTTAAATGACATTGTTTTGTGTCATTATATTTGTGACTGTGGTTCTTACAGCCACACAAGAAATCACTGAGCCAATTACGTTCACTACTCCCTACCAGTCAAGCAGAAATAGCATTTTGCATTAGTACTGCTGTTATCATCATCATTATTATAAAGAATTGGTTGCAAGGCAAAGGTCTGTAGCCTTTGGTTTGAGGAAATAGGGTCTGCAAACACACTATTCCTCCCAGTTACAATTTTGGGATCTGACAATTCAAATTCTTCACTTAGTTTTCTTCACCTTAATCTTTGCTTTGGCAGGGGAGAAAGGAACCTAAAGACATAGCAACTTACTGTGATTCCAAAGAGTATGTTTCTGTCACTGCTGAACAAGATCCAGCTATTCCCAGATAACATACATCCTCCACTGTTTGTTTTTTAAGCAAGTCCTGAATAAGCTCAGGTTAAGATTCTGAAAAATTTAAATCACTTTAGTATTAAAAGCTCTTATAAGAAAGAAATACTCCTGCCAAAGTTGAACTACTAAGAATTTTATATGAAAGGGAGAATAATGATTTTTGGACTCCACCAAAATGCTACAGATGAATTCCTACAAGGAAATTTCACTTGTTGCTTTCCCCAAAATAATGAGATAGAATGTACTGATACAGTTTCTGTGCTCAGAATAATAGTTTGCTTCAAAGAACTTCTTCTAGCAATTCTCCAGTAGCTGAACCTTCTGCAAATAGAAAGGACCAATGTAATTACATGAAACTGGGAAAAGATTAGGAACCAAAGAAGCTAAGAGGTAGAGAAAACTATACATTAATCTTTAACTTAGACTATCACTCCTGTATTTTATATAGAATTTGGACCACTGACATGTTTAAAATAACTCATTTGTTTATGCACTGTGAGTATATGTTATAATTAGCTGAAAAAATATGGATATTGATAGCTCAACAAACTTCTTGGGCTTTGGAGAGCTACCAATGACCAGGTCAGTGTATAAACACCCTGCCAATATAAGCTATCACTGATTTTAAGATTTCACAGTCAAACTGGACTTTAAATACAAATCTACCACCAACAGTTTATACTGTATCTGGCTCCTGTACAAGCTATGAGGAGAGAGAATGTGATCTTCCTTTGCTGAGTGGCTATAGAATCAGATGAATTTGATACAGACAGGGTAGATCTACATTCACAAATGCACTGGCTGACAGTGAACACCACTTGTGACATGCTGACTGCCCCCCCCCCCCCCCCCCCCCAAGAGGATTTTGACCTTCTTGTAGTTGCCTTTTGTTGCCAGTGTTTGCATAACAATAGCATGAGGTATTTCCATTCCTAAAGCACAAGGGCACTTCATGGCCCAAACCATAAAAAAAGTTTGGAAGTCTATTAGATAGGCATGACAGCTAGAACTCCTCAGATTTAAGTCTCAGTAGGACATTAGTATAGGCAATAAAGACAGATCGATAGAAATCAGCTATGATTCATTAGAAACAAATAGGCAAAGCATCTTAATTTGAACTTCAGTACTTGTCCTGCAAAATAGCGAAAACATAACAGCATAAACCCTCTTCATTCAAGTAAGTCTAGCTGCTTAGGTACTAGGGAATTTAAAAGATGGGAATGGCTTCCAAGTAGTAAGACAGGGTACCTGATGAAGTAAGGTTTGAATTGCTCAATCACAAACATGCTAAGAACTATTTTCAAAATGTGATAGTTTGCAAGACTGGAAGTTTTACTTAACACTTAACTCAATCTCAGTAGCTTTCTTATTCCAACACAGAACAAGTAATCCCACCAGAAGTAAACGATATCTTTTCCTGGAGACCAGTCTGAAAAATCTATATTTAGCGAATTCCAAAACACAAAAGTTAGGCCCATTTCTCATGTTCACATACCTAAATGGAAGATAAGGTGGATTAGATCCAGACAAAAGTGTTCTGTAAGCTTCTTCTGGTGTTTTCTTCAAGTATATTACCTAAAAAGGATGGGGGGGGAGAGGAAAAAATATCAGCCCTGAGCCTGAAAAGTCATTAACCACACGTAAGCTTCCCCAGCCCATTACACTCCTAAGAATGTATGCTATACTCCTTTATGACCAACTCCTAGGACATTTATAGGAGTAAAGTAAAAGATTCAGAAATCAACAGAAGTCAACAGAAACTGGGAATTCTGTTTTGTGTGATTCCCCTCCTTTAAAAAACAATAAAATAAATTAAAAAACCAAAGCAAAACCCAAACCAAACACATACTGTGGCAACTGAGAGACTTTAAGACAGACTCAACATCATCCTAAGAAGAAAAATAGGCATCTATACCAGGAGTTCTCTGCCCAGCTTCCGATGACTCCACATATCACAGTGTCTGACAAAGAAAATATTTCTCCACCACAGCTCAATGGTAGATTTTCCAACATAAACATTGTCCGACTCCTAACTGTCAATATCAAACTACCAATTACACAAAAATAGCTAATTCAACAAGCCAAACCTGTTACTGTTAGACCAACATACAGTTTATGTAATACCCTAAGCCAAGGTTCATTCAGCTATCCTGAACACCATCAGCTGCACTGGCTTAAGCAAGAAATTAAAATAAAACCACATGTTGCATTTCAATTCCTATTTGCACAGTAAAACTGATCCTAAAATAAAACTAACTTGGAAAATATAAGCAAGTTATTATTTACAAAAGAGTTGTAATCCAGTTTGCAGTGGCATATTTCATGCACACAAGCATGTTTCTTAAACAATGCCACACAATTTCCCTGGCCTTTTCCCCTCCAACTCACACCCAGCACCTACATGGCTGCATATTCACTCTATGCACATTTAACTCTTGAATATGAAGTATTCTAATAAAGATTTTCTTAACCAAGACATAGGTTAGTTCCTTATCTAAAAGCTTTCTTCAATTTTTGACCTTAAGCACATTAGAATATAGGTAAGCGGTGGCCACTTCCATAATATTTGCAATTTGCCTGAAGTCTAGAGTCATATCTCAAGTTAATGGGATTCTCAGTATTCTGTAAGGTATCACCACAGTAAGTAGATTTTCTTGCATTTCTTCCTCAAGCATGGACGAGGCAGACAGAAAAGAGAAGGATAAAACAAACCCCATAAAGTTGACACAAGTAAAACAGCCTGAAAAACCTCTTGCCATGATGGAGTGAAAAGAGGGCCCAGAATCATTTCTGGTGGTTTTAAACTACCACCTGTTTCACCGCTTTCAACAACTGGTCTACTTTTGAACCAAAAGCCTCACCACAAACTGATCTGCCTTCAAAAGATCTATTCCCTGACATGGATTTTTATTTGCCTGGACTTCCACATTCCCCCCTCCATAATCTCTGAAAGTAATGCATCCTTTCCACCATCAAACCAGACCACAATTTCTAGATGAAAACCTTTCCATTCACTCTATGTTATCAGAACAATTGTTGCTTTTTTGCTAGCTCAACTATTGCATTCTTTGTTGTTGGGGTCAAACCAGTTATTGCTAATATTGGAACAGATTGAGAGATTTACTTAATGGATATATATATTTACCTAATTCAACAAGTGGAGGGGCCCATTTCTTTGTAGTTTTAAGCTGTCATGGTCTGTCTGCAGCTATGATTGCTAACTAATGGCACCAGCATCATGCTTTCAACTCCTGCTACACAGCAATGCTATGCTGCTTTCATAGCTCTTTGTAAAGGATTATTTTAGCCTGTGAAAGAAGTCTCCTTTGTCCTTCCTTTAGTCCACTTCACAAAGGTTTTGCATTTAAGAAGTGTGCATCCTGTGCAATACATTTCAATGGGGGGTATATTTCAGAGAAAAATACCAATTTCATTCAAATATTCATGTCAGTTACTCACCTTTAAAGCCTAAATTCATGCTTATAGTCAAAAGATCCTTAAAGGGGAGTTCAGAGGACTTCAGGGGAAGATGAGTTTCCATCTTACACAGTTATGGAGTCAGAAATCTGAAGTGAATCTGTACTACATGAATGTTTTTCTAGTGCTGCAGGTTTTAGTTCACAGAAGCTGTGGTACTTCAAAGCTGTCTCTGCTCAAAGGCACATATATACACGCCATTTTGAACCAGACACTGCTTGCTCCTAATAAAGATACTCGGCTGGAAACAGGAGAAAGATTTCAAGAACACAAAAGGAAGGAGAGAAGTAAAGAAACACTTAACAGAGCTCCTGAAAAAACAAAGTATTGCGGATGTCAAGAATAATGCAGTAACTGAAGAAGAAGAATGAAGTAGAGAAGGAAACACTACTTAAAATTAGAGATATCCATTAAGAAAATTTGAGGAAGGTGTGTTTTCTGACTCTATCAATGAAAAGTCAGCAGCTGAAACTTAGCTTCAGTTCTTAATCTAATATGCTGAATCTTCAGAGCTTTCATTCTGCAACACACACAAATAAAAATAACACAACACAGAGCCTGTTTGAATAGTCTGCATAAGCTGAATCTGTATCGAAGGAGAAATGCGAGTAAAAGCCTTAAAATAAACAAAGGAAGCCACTTTCCAGACAGTGACTATTGTCACACTGTAAAGAGTTGCTTTACAAGGGACAAGGCTCTCCTCCCATTCCCACTGTCACTGCTCTAGCTCATATCATGTGGCTCTGCTACCTATAAAAAAACAGATTCATCAAATACTAAAAAGTTTCAAGTATTCTTTTTTCTCTCACCTTTCTATTCTTATGCCCTCAACTTCTAAATAAAGATGTGCTAGGAAGAGAAAGCCTCTCACAGCTTTGACACTGTGCTGGCACATGACACGTAGTGATAGTGGCCAAGAAAATTCATACCACACGTCCTAAAAAGTTTAGAGAATAAAAAAGGAATATTTTGCAAAACCGCCTTAAGACTTACAATATTTCTCTGCAGTAACTGAAAAGCCTTCGCATTTGCTGACCCTCCAAGGGAGCGGTTATGGATTTGAGCAGTAGTGTGATATGCCTAGATTATACCAGAACAAACCCTTGAAGCTTCAGGTAGAGCTGAGAAATCCGATTTATTGTTTTAAACTTGGGGGAAGCTCTCATCTGTAGTAGTTTGTTATTACCTGGTCATTTGCTGTGCTAAACTTACAAACTTGAGAACTCAACAGCTTTTTTCCCTTATTTGCGTTACACAAGCCTAATACAAGTCTACCAAAAAATACACTTAAAGTAACTGTAAGAAAGAAATATGACCAGCCTATCTGCTATCAACAAGGCAAAAGAGCTCACTGGATCCCTGTTCAGAGTTTGTCACAGTATGAAAGCATTGTGTTTCATCAGGACTGCTCAAAAGTCAGATATGGGTCCACTAATCAAGTTTTGATCTTTAAAGAACTGCAAGAAATAACAACTACTTGTCTTCTACAAGGGTAGAATTAAAGCTCTAGGTTTACCAGAGGGAGCATGTGCCATACATATATATTCTCTCTCCCCGCTGTCCCATTTCTCTAGAAGTACAAGAGCAGTCACTGGTACAAACAGACTAATATTCCTCCTGCTCTTCTACCCCAAGTAATCCAAACTTTACTAGATAGCAGATCACACAACCAGTTGAGGGCTCCTTGGTTTCCAACCAGAAAAGAAACATAACAAATACCCTAATAATATGGAAAGAAGGGACCAGCCCTCAATTCATCCATATTATCAGAAAGGGTAAAATGCACTCTCCTTCTCCAAGAAGGAATTCTTTGATGACAAGTGGGGAGTTCATGTAATGACTTCGGTATAATTCAATAAAACTTATTCCCTCTCACCCCTCTTCCCCCCAGAAACTGTTAGGGACAAATTGAGACAAACAAGGCTGCTTTAGTTTTGATATGCATGAAAGTACTTGTAATACTATTTTTAAATGATTTTTAAATACTAGTTTTTCTTTCTTTCTTTTTAATTAACTATTGTGGAAAGCTACATAAAAATTCTTTTTGTCCTAATTTGAATAACAGAAAGAATCTTCACTGAATTCTTAAGAGCAAGGGCAATAATTTAAGAACTGGACATGATTAGCCCAAATGTATTGGAAGTACATTGTAAAAATTGACATTTAGAAAACACATCTACCCGAGATGCAGTTTATAAACAGGAAAGCAATTGCCCACAAAGTTTTAAGACTTAACTTTCCCTTAACCTTATGAGTCTCTTATTAAAATATTTTAATAGCTATAGGGTATTTCAGTGCAACATGTCTAAGCAGCTCCTCATTGGAACAATCTAAGTTGCATAATCACCAGTGGAAACCCATTCCTAGAACTCGATCCACTGTTTTCCATGTTTCATTTTACACTTAATATTTTAACACCAGCAAAACCAATCCTTCTCAGTTAACTTTCACACACTGGTAAGTGTTCACAGCTCTAAGACTTTCTGGTTTCAGAAAGCTTATATAATCAAAGGCAAGATGTAAAATCTACAAGACCTGAGATTAAAGAGTACATATATTCCTGTCATGATTTGGATATTCCTACTGTGACAGATCACACTGCCAATGACACAGTTCTTTTACTGAAGAATATGATGAGGTTCCTTCAGGTCCTTCCTTACGCCCTATCACATAACCCAAGAGTGTACCTCTACTGCATCTGACCCAACACAGTATTTGCAAGTAACACACTATGAAATGCAAATATTATTTCTTGAGAGTGAAATGAATATGTCTTGATTGTCAAAACTAAGCTTCTGCAGGTAAAAAAAAAAACAACAACAAAATCAGATTGGTAAGTAGATCATGAATAAGTTTTTAGAATAACTAAATAGTCATTTTATGAATCTACATTAGTATCAATCATTACAGAAGAAAATGAATGAACTCCCTTAACACTTGCAAGTTTAGGAATACACATCTATACAAGTAATTCTGGGATGACATACTTTTGTAACATATTGGATACCTTTGTGCAAACTGTTTTCCAATGTTACACTAAGTTGAGATGAATTGGAAAGCGACCTTAAGGTGGTTTCAACAAGAGAATACTTTTTGTATTGGAACACTGTATTAGTAAAAACTTGTTCTCTGTACATAGTATTTTCAGTAACGATACTTGAAACTTATCCTCAAGTTTTTTCCATCTTTACATTTAAACAGATCTTTCTCAAGAGCATGCACACGCTAACCCCATACACGTAGTAAAACTTTTTCTTTAATGACAAGAATCTGCAAACTAAATTCTTTCAACATTATCATCTGCATTTACTGAGCTTTGGTTTCCGCATGACCTGAAAGAAATACACCAGCTTTCACAGAGTATAAAACCTGTCTTAACAGAGACTTCCAGAACTCAGCTGGAACATGCGTGTCAGCTTAGAACCAGCAGCTTGTTAGTTCCAGTATTCTAACATGCTATGACAAAGACTCTGAGTTTTCTAGAAGTTGCTTCAACTCTGGACAGTAGAGCAGGAAGGTGAAACTGAAGTTTGAACTACACTGGTATGAAGACACACAGATAGCTGTGCAAGTGTCAGCTTGTGACTACCAAAATTTGCATGATATCCTAATAAATTAGTCTTGTGTAACTAAGGCAGCCCTGTGTATTGCACAGTGTCTGTAAAATAAGGAGATTGAAATACCTCAGGTTTTTCATTATTCTGGGTAGATTATGAAATTTAACTAAGAAATCCATCCAATAATCAGTATGCCTCTGGTCCAGTAACTTTAAGAAAGGCTGCAAGAAAAGGCTTTCGCCTCCTCAGTATGAATTTCAGTAATGCCACGAGCAGCAATTGAGTTCAGGCAAGTTTAGAGGTAAGTTTGTGGTTTGCATTTTGATATTCAAGAAAATGGTATAATATGGGAAGCATGTACACGATCCACCAAAGCCACTCCCTGTGTAGTTAAATGGAGTTAAGTCCCAAAAGTCACACAGCAGAATTTTCAAAGACAGCTTAGGGAAGAATCAAATGACAATCTGCCTGCCCCCTACAGTACAACCCATTGAGATGTTATTTTCACATGTAGCAGATGACTCTTAAGGAAGGTTAGAAGAATCCATGTGATAAATAATACTTACAGCATATGCACCTATTAGAAACGCTGCGTTTGCTCGTTTTCGTTGGTCAAAGTTGGTATAGTACACAATCTTCTTTCTTGATAGACTGAAATACTGTTAAAAAGAACCAGAAAGCATATTTACTGAGAGAATACACATTTAAAATGCCTTCCAAAGTCACTTTTCCAAAACTGAAAAAGAAGCCAGAAAAAATTCTTCTACAGTCTTACAAGTACAAAATTACTGATACCATGAACCATCTTCTTGCATTATAGATAGGAGTGCAAAGAAACAGCCACTGTTCAAGGGCAGATCTCTTAGCTGTACATAAACAGCCTATAAAACACTGAACCACAATGTTAAAGATAAAAACCTGTTTTTTTTTTCCAAGTTTAAAGATCTGAAACAATAACCTATGAACACTAATAAAAGACATTGAAATTTTTAGACTAAAACACCCCCCTATATGTGAAATTTTGCCAGCACATAATTCTGTGGAGAAGAAAAAACCTAAAGCAATCAATCTTACAGGCATTTTGTTAAACTAAACACTACTCTTCCATCTATACTACCTAAAAATGGGGTGACAGACATCATCTTTCTAAAGCTTCAACAGCAAGAACTTGTATTTAAGAAAAATGACTGCACAAGTGAAAACCCTGAAAAAAGGATAGGCAGAGATAAAACTAGTAACACTGGTAATTCTTCTTTATTTAGGACAAAACAAAGAAGACAAAACCCCCCTGTGGACAAAACTCCCATTGAAAACAAGCCCAACAAGCACCAGAAAAGAGCAATAATGACAAACCGCAGCAAACTGTTTAAAGCCAGAGAGAGAGAAAACTGTCACTTAAAAATGGCAAGTTGAGCAGTCCATTGTGTTGTCATTTTTTGAGCTTCATGAATTGCTTCACTTTCTTTGTATTCTGCAATGCTATCAGGCATGTTTTTCCTGCCAGGTTTTTACAGTGCTAGTACAGTTCTGAGGAAGCCATCACCAGACATTCTGGATTCTGCTTTTAAGTATTAGATGTGTATATATCTATTGAAATATTGCAGCAGTTATTTGAGTAGTACCAACTGTATTTCACTTTCAGAAGTCTGTAAACGTTGACTCTCATCCTCAATCTTGTTGCAAATTTTAGGACAGCTTTAACCACAGAATCATGTTTTCAAAAGAAAAAACCCCAAACAAACAGCTGATAAACTCAGAGGAAAAACTGATATATCATAGTGAGTTTCTTACTGCCACCTCCCACCAAAAATAGAACCTTTAACAGCAGTTCTAACCGTACACTCCAGTCTGGTGTTACCCACAGTTTTCATCGGTGGAAGGAGTGAGTTAATACAGTGAGTACATCTAAATGGGACTGTAATTTCAGAGCTAGCTGGCTGCTGGTGATTGGAAGTGGTTGTATCTTGAGCCCAAAAGCAACATCTTTCTCAGCATATATGCAAACACACAAAGCTCCAGTAGTTATTTAATTAGTGAAGCATTCAATTATTATTACACCTTGACAAAATGAAGCCCAGTATTTTAAGATCCTTCCTTTCTTCCCCCTCCTCAAGATTTTAATGAGTGTTCTCTAAGTGCAGTTCCACCCATGATGTGTAGGTGGGATAAGATTACAGCAGTTATGCAACAGTGACAGAACTTCAATTAGAACTTGTTGACTGCTTCTTATTTAAAGCAAAGTTCTTTGCAACAGTTTACGGTTCACCTGAAATACTATTTTAAACTGTAAAAAGCACATTCTGCTAGCTAGCCAGAAGTGCTATGTAATAAGACCATATTTCCTGGTTTATTTTAGTGATGGATGTTTTTTTTTATCAGATAGCTATGACATGTCGTTCCAATTTTGAGATGCTTTTGTACCTGAAAAAAGTGAGAGCTCACCTTAAAAGTTCCCAGAACAGTGAAATGCAAGTAATGTAACACTTTCATTGCTTGATTTTCAGAATTGAAGGGTTTGAATCTTATAAACCATACTGCTATATGAAATAGTTCACTGGCTTTTGAGTCCTGACTAAAGCTTTAACACTAAATTGAAACCTGACATTAACTAATGGCTTATAGCACAGCAACCAGAGGAAAATTGCATCAGGATTTTACTGTTCAGAAGTGTATAAAACAAACCACTTTCTATTTGCATGGGCTAAAGAAAGTCAACTTTTATCGCGTTTGCTAAAATGCCAATGTAACATCTCTGTTAGCACAAATTCTCACCTCAGTATCAATGCTAAGCTATATCATATATTTTTAGAGAACACTGATTTTCTGACCGTGTTTAATAAGCCAAGTACATTTCTTTGGCTAGGTTCAACGATAAGTGTTAAAGACTGCTCTAGAGTTCCACCTGAATGGATTAGGGCTTTACTTCCCCCAGATACTGAACAACTCCAGAGAACCAAAAATGTTCCAACAAGGAATTTTTCAATACAGATTGTCTACAGAATAGCTCTAGTTACAGATAACATTAGCTGCAAATCATCTTTTTTCTAAAACAAAACTAAGACGAACACTATGAAACATGAAATATATTTTTCTTCAGCAGTAAGAAAATGTTAGCAGTTTCACATATCACTACAAGACCAAATGCAACAATATAATAACAGTATCTGTCAAGATACATCACAGAGGAGCATGCTCAAAGACAATTATTTGAACTAAAATCAGAGGTTACATGAAAAGGTTTTGGTTTTAGGTGATAATTCTAATTCATTAGGTGTATGAGAAGGTTCCAGAAAATATTATTTGCACTGCAAGATTATTCAACAGATCAGTTCTTGTTTCTGGAAGACCTCAAGATAAATTTACACAGAAATTGGTGACAGGTTTAGAAGATACTATTGTGAACAATTACTAGCTCAACATCTGTTTAGAACCACCAGATTATTTGACAGTCTTTTATTTCATGGATATGGTTTACTACACTTGCATTGGTCAAGCAAGAAATTACTGCAGTGTGTTTAATAAGCCTGGATCAATGCACATACTATGCATATACTATGTATACTTAAGATGCATATATAAAAATCAGAGTGACTAGACGGCTGGCAAACTGTTCACAGAAATGTACGTATTAAAGCATGCACACACAGCCCTGCCTCGGAATCTAAGCTGTCCTCAGGGAGATGCTTGCAATCACTTATAGCTCCATGCGTATACCCAGCAGCTTATTGATGTTAATACAAAAATAAACCAAAACCCTCTGTGATTCAGCAGCAATAAAGTTAGCATACAAGAATCATTAACCCCAGAGTTCATAAACCTGCCAGAACTTTCCCTCTTCTGCCTTTGATCTTCTCTTCTAATATCATTTATCTCAGCAACCTCCCCAATCAGCCCTGCTTCTGAATTTACTGAAGTTGTGAGGCTATACGCTCATGAGAACACACCAGGCTTTTTAAAGTAGTTTTTATGAAAACAGATTTATTTAAACAGAAGAAAAACATATTTCTCAGCAAGCAGAATTCTAAGCAGCAGGAAGATAGCCCAGCCAAGCATTTTCTCGTGCTGTTGACTTGGCTAGTCAAGATCATCTCCATAGCAATCAACAATCAAAACATTACTAACATAGCAAGGTCAGAAAGGTTTTCCGGTAAAACATAACCAGGACTTTACCTCTAACTTTCTCAGCAAATGGGTATCTGAACAAATACTTCAGCTCCTCAGAACAGAACTATTTACTGGCTTTAAAATCAGTCAGCATAAAGTAACAATGATTTCCTTTACAAAGTTGGCCCACCATTAGCACATTTCAAGTGCCATTACGCTTCTCCTACCTGTCCCCCAAGGAAGGAGAGAGGAAGGCAGGGAACTGCCTTCGTGTCTAATTCCTTATCTAGAACAGAAGTAAATACAGCTGAAAGACTTGGAGGGGAAGTTTGTTTTAATGAGATCTTATACACCCACTTCTCCTGTTCCTACTCACAGAAGTTTTAAACTTACTATAAGTCCAAGTCTTTTAACTCCTTTTGAGACCTCACATTCACACAAGAACCATCACATTTTGTGAATACTTCTTTCATGCCATGTTTCTTTTAAAGACTCTTTTTGTATGAAGAAGCACATCCCCAGTCAGGTATATTCCTAATCATGGCAGGAGGCATCAGGCTTAAGTAGTGTGATTGCCTCAGGGTCCCAAAAGCAGCGCAACATGGTAACAGCAACCATGCCACAGCAGAGGCGGGATATCTGCAGTTCCTTTTACATCAGCCAACTCCTGCTATTGGTCACAGGGCATGGTTACCCTTAATGCAAGGGTATGCACGCAGCAGATTGCCCAACAAGCCTCTTTCTCCATGTCATTAGTCCAATTGGCACCTCCCACTTCCACAACACTGGCCACAGGCTGCTTACATGTCCCCCTGGTGCCATGTGAGAACTGCCATACTCTTGTTGCTGTAGTTACTTGTTGCATCAATGCCTTGCTGGCAATAAGTCACAGGTCATGAACTTGTCTTACACAATAGTTCAGCCTTTGGGAATCCTCTCAGTGATAATTGTGAGGGTCAGACATGAGAAGATGAAAGGCAGAAGGGTAGAAACTGTGAATCCATAATAGCTAGGACTACAGTACACATCAGATATGCTCTTTAAACACAGGGATTTGGTCTTTCAAGCCTACTTAACCACTGCAGACAGTAACTAAGTGAGGACAGTCTGGCACATATTTTAACTATTAGAAAAACAAAGCTTACATTAGCAGGTACTGGCCTACCTGAGGGGAATTGTCCATCACCCAGGCTGGAACCTATTCATGCGCAAAGTTTTATACCACTATAGCAGTATTCCAAGCTTTAGCTGTTTCAAGTTCAGGTATTACTTTCAAGTGGTTGCACGATCAGGTTACCCTTCTCTACTATTCTCTAGTAGTTTAAATCGACGCGTTGGGAATTAGCCTCTGGTAAGGCAGCAGCACTAACAGCAGCTCCTCCCAGCTTAAGCTGCAGTTGATGCACATGAGATTTCTCTGCCCTGCTGGTGCATCACATAGCACTGCAGGGGGCTTGCTTTTAAATAAAAATATAAAGCTCACATTAAAATGACATCACAGTCTGCTAAATCAACCCTGCAAATGCCAGAGTTACCACTTCAGCTTCAGTTTGCCTCCCCTGTGTATTTTTTAATCATGATTAGAAGCTACTTGCAACAAATAGCTTGCCTCATTCAGTGCACATGGTGGTCTCTTAACAAGAATGAAGACAGTAGACACACTCCTGTTTAACACTGAATCATCAAGAAACCACAAACAAGCCCCAAGGTATTTATTATTTGTGTGCTTATTTCATGGTTGAAATGCTTGGTATCTAGGATCCAGTCTGAAGATGTTCTAGTTCAACTGCAGAAGTTTAAAGATATGCTTCAGCAGTGTATTCAGACTGTACTGAGGTCCCAAACTGATGCCAGTCTCAGTCTGAATCTGGAAAAAGCAGAACTAATCTCTGCAGTTCTCATATGCATGGCGAAAGTCAGAGTAGGAGGTATATAGAGTAATTGCTTCACAGAGAAAGCATTCTCCACAATCTTTAATAACTCAAAGATAAGGCAAGAAACAGCAGAATTAAGGTTAAAAAAATCCAAACATGGATTCCTAGTGAGTGAGCATCATTGGCCATGTCTTTTAACTGGGACAGTGGCACTGGAAAATAGGCTCATAAGAGAATGTATTTATAAGCTCTATCTAGTGTTAATACAGAAAAGGCAAATCCAACCCTTTCCCAATATGAATGAAGGCATTCCAAATTAAAAATACAAGAGTCTAGTATTTTTTTATTTACACCAAACTTTCTGCATGAAGCAGCCATGTAAATTTTCACTAGGAGCACTTTATTTTTTTTTTGCAGAAAGGTTATAGCAACTCTATACCACCCTTCAAATTGCAAAATGTCCTCTTAAGACCACCTGAGTCGGCATGTCCCTGTGAGTAGTCCATAGCATTAACCAACTTGTGTAATGGTTTCATTGGTGCAGAAAACAGTAGCCCCAAAACATAATTCCACTTTTGAGACAGGAATCCTCTTAGCAGTGGCCAGTGTTATCACATCTGCTGTCCCACTTTTCCCTTCTGTCAGCAACAGGACTAATATATTATAGAATTTAAATCTGTAATATTTAGTGAAGGGTCTCCTTACTATTTGCACACGAGTGGTAATCGGTAGTGCTTCGGAATTAAAACACAATTCCTTTCACGCAGTTGATAAATCTTTTATACATGCTGCATATCATTTTTGCAGGCACTTGGGGACCAGGTTAAATCTCCAGCTATGTGCTCTGTCTGCTGGGTCTGGCTGGGATGGAGTTCAGCTCTCTCAAGAGCAGGCTGCATGATGCTGAGGTTTAGGTTTGTGACTAAAACTGTTGATAACACACCAATGTTTTAGCTGCTGCCAGACGGTGCTCACACAGAATCAAGGCTGCCTGTTTCTCACTGTGCCCCCACAGCAAGTAGTCTAGGATGGGCAAGATGCTGGGAGGGCACATGGCGAGAAGAGCTGGCCCCAACAGACAGGAGGATATTCCATGCCATAGAACATCAGGCTCAGCAGTAAAACTGAGGAGCAGGGGTAGCTCGGAGACTGGCCAGGCACCAGTCTACTGGTGGGAGGTGGTGACTACATTTGCACCAGTTGCTTTGCTCCTCCCTCTGTCCCCATGTCTCCCCACTTCTTATTCCCCTACAACCAACAAGCATGATGTGGAAGTCAATAAAAAAGCTTATACAAATATTTGATAGAGGGATACTTCTATGAGACAGAAAAAGGAACCATTTTTATGTGTAAAAGCACATTTTCAGAACATTTATTAGAAGCAACATTAAATTGAATGAGATTTAAAAGGTTTAACTTTTCCACTGAGTGAGATTTGAGTTTAAATAGTATGATTTCAGGGTCCACGTTTTGTTCTTTTTTATGGCTGTGGGTTTTTTTGCTTGGTTGTTAATCTCTGCTTTTTTCATGCTAGCATATATACAGTTGCAAACCTACAAAACAGCTAGAGTGGTTTGTTACTGTTGCCTTGAAACTGTAGGGTTATGCAAAAAAGGTGAACACAGCCTTCAGTGCCTCATCTGCTAAGCAATGACAACATTCACTTCTAACATTCTTCAGAAGGAAAATAATTCAGAATGAATAACCTTAGAGCTTAGTAGCAACCACCTATATAACGAGCATCTAACAATCACTTACAAACTGGATAACGCATTTCAGTTGTATTGCAAGACACAAATACAGGAACACTAGTTTTAAACAAAGCTTACCTTTAACTTCTTACTTAGCTTACAGCAGTATCTGTATAACATTGCCAAATTTAAAGGTCCAAAATCGCCATAGAAACTGGGAGAAAACAAACAAAAAGATGTGTTATTATACAAAAAAAAAGCTAAGCAAATTTCAACATGCCTGTTGTTAAAGCTGCTAATCAGTAACTTTTGGGAGTAGCCAATACAAAGGGGAAAACAGATAAGCCTTTTATTAATTCATTTAAGAGGCTGATACCAACAATTAATTTGAAAGCATCTGTAGCTTCAGTTGAAGATGCTCCAGTAACTACCTTTCCCATTACATACACAAGCTAACTACAGAATTTTTTCTTTATCCCATGATACCCAGACTGGTTTTGGACAAAACTACAGTGAAGAACTTCAAAACATCATCTACTCCCCTTTAAGCGATGTTGATGCCATCCTATATAAAGTTTCCACAACTGCTTAAGATGAGAATATATCATTAGATACTATGAAGAATAAGCTAAAGACTTCATAGGTGGTAAAACTTAAATAAGTTTTAATCCAGTCTTGATCTGTCTGAAATGGAAGCTTACTTTTTTTATCCCATTCTCCACTATTCCAGTGATTACATATACACTTAACTTTACATGGTTCAGTGTTCCCCTTTGTCCCCTCCAACCTTCTTGTCTCTAGGCAATTATATTCCAGTATAATTTATTCCAATATATTATTTATTTCATGTCTTCTGATTGTTCTTGTTTCTCTCTTCTAGATTCTTAAACCTTGACATTACTTTTGAAACAGCAACCATTGTCCTTAGAATAAGGGCTAATAGCAGTAGTGTGTACAGGAAAGATGTTGTACAATAAAGCTAAATTCCTGGTAGGAATTTACAGTGCTTTTCCAAGCTAACCCTTCATATAGGCACCTTTACAAGTAATAGCAGCCTTTAAGCTATACAGCTTATGACATTTTCTGGAGCTTTTTCTCCTCACCTCCTGTTGTGCAAAACCACTCATAATTTAAGTTGTAAGCTTTCTCAAACAGTTTTTCTTGTTGTGTATAGAAGTCTTTATCTTGATGCTCTATGAAAATTTGTTGATGCATACATTATATATCCCAGTGAGAACAGACTAAGACTGCTTTAATCTGCACTGCCCTTAGTCTTTTGATAAAGGAGAAAGGACACTTCTTGCCTACCAACAAACAAAACAAGCCATCTGAATGTGTTACTTGGGGAATGACAAAGGAAATATGTGACTATGTTCTACAAATTCTAAACTTCGAAGGAGTGAAAACTTCCTGAAATCAGATGACAGAATAGGTGGTAGCACCATTCAAGTTTTCTTCCCCGTACCAGAAAGTTTATTTTCTCAGGAAAATTAATTATGTTCCAGTTAACTAAGGAGAAGACCTTTACTTTGAGGGCAGTCACACATTGGGAAGACACCCCTTAGAGAGGCTGCAGAATCACAAACCAATTGCTCAAGGCTCTGAGCAATACACTCTTGTTGAGCTTGCTTTGAGCCCAGGGTCTGGATTAGAGATCTCCTGTCCAGAGGCACCTTCCAGCTGCAGTCATTCTGCTATTCTAAGTGGTCACAAGTAGAAGTTTCTGATCTTTTAGGTACTTATAACTTTACTAATATACTCCTTCCCACATTCTCACAAACAAAAAAGCTAAACCCAGTGCAAAGAGACAACGGCATTAGCCTGATCACTGTCTAGGATGAATAGGCTGCCTGTCACACCCAATGCTATTTCATTATCATCTGGTTTACAGCAACAGAAGTGTTTCTTAAGGTTCAGTTCAACCCTTCAGTACAGAATATTATAACACAATGCTTAATTACAGAAGTCCATTAGCTGGGTCAAAGACTAAGCTGTCCAGCTATTAGGACTTTATTTGTAGATTGCACAGACATTAACCATCTCACAGGCAAATTGCAGTGGCAGTAAAGCAGGGTTGAACCTTGGGATTCCTCATCTTTTCTTAGATAAGTATGCTATATATAGGCAAAAGTTACCTGTGCAATTTTTAATAGAGATGAAAAGGATGAGATGAAACTCAACTGTCTAAGAAGGACAAGTGTAAGTTACAGCACAGAAGTTAAAGTTGGAGGTCTAACAACACCAGTGATTGTAGATTCTAGAGAAGCCATATAGAAGACATATTAACATCTCTTCCCATTCTGCTGCACTAACACCTTCTCTAAAGCAAAAAACCAGCTCTATCTTGTTCCATTAACTTTATTCTTTCACTTAAATATATGAGGAAAGAGTAAAATTTGGGATTTTAAGGTTATTTTGTGAAAAATACTTTCAAAAGTATTGTGAGAAAGTATGGAATAGGATAGTTACTAAAATAGAGAATACTTTTAGAACTGGTGTAAGCAAAGTAACTCAAAGACAGAACTGAACACACAGTTCACATAAAGCACTGAAGAACTACAACCACGATTTAGGATAGTAAGTTCATTTGCTACAGCTACATCTCCATGAAGTCAGATACTCACTTCTACTTTTCCACATGATTAAACTCAAAGTAAAGTGTAGGAAAAGCGCATGAAAATTAAATTACAAACCAATTTATCCACAACAGACAAATTATATACTATATTGGTGGGGATAAGGATAAAATACATCTGAGTGTATCCATGAAAGAATTTTATTTCTACAAAATAAAGCTCCTCAGATTCTCTCAGCCACCAAGCCAGTATCTTAGGCTGACTTTGTTCATCACTCATTACCATTAAAGTATGCTATGATGGCTCTTAAGGGGGGAAAGGGAGAGGAAGTATCAGTTTTTCTCACCCTGGTACTACCACTGTTTGCCTGTGCTGCAGAAACAAGATGTTTCTTAGAATCCAAACACAATTATAAAGGAAAGGCACTTCTGGTCACACATAAACACTGGCAATTCCCAAGTTATTTATATAACACCATATAGGCACTATAAACCAGCCACTGACTTTATTGATGTTAGAGACAAAGGTTATTTGTTATACGTATAATTTTAACTTTCCTCACTTAATATCCCTAAATTGGAATAAGCTTGAATGTCCTTCTTTTTAATGGGGCTAAGTAAAACAACTGCCTTACAAACCTCCAAATCAAGGAGCTCTCCGAAAGATAATACAAGGCTCTGTACTGAAGTCAGAGAACTCCAAGCTACAAAACCCTTCTTAAACTTATATCCTTAGAACTAAAGTTTCTGACATGTTTCAACTCATTACTTTTAGTATAACAGGCCATTTCTGTACTTGATCTAGAAACACTTAATCCTGACTCACACAGAGGATTTTCTTCTTAAGAACAGGATTTTGACAGAGAGTTAAACATAAATGGAAGCTGGGAAACAGGAGCTGCAGGGAACAGGGAAGAAATGATACACCAAGTCATCATCTGACTACAGAATTTTATCTGGCAAAAGCTGAAGATAAAAAACATAAGCGATTAATCTTAGTGTTTGATAACAATTAAAATACTTTATTTCCAGCTCTTTCAGTTAATAAGACTTTCTTTGTATCTAGATGTTCTAATAAACATTTTAGCCAGTTAAGAGAGGCAATCATTTACCATGGAGGTGGGAACCAGCTATGAGGATCAGAAGGCAAGTATGGTATTAATCTACATTTAATTATATTTTGTTTTCATCAACTACTTAGATGATATCTTAAATTATTCTTCACCTTCATCCCATGGAAACATGTTGTCCTTATGCTTCTCAAGCTAAGAAGTAGCAGAACTCCAGGATATGCGAAGGGATATTTAAATACTTCAAGAATACTATCACAATGCTACCTGGAAGCAGCAGAATGCATTTCTTGTACCTGTGTTTTCCTAGAACTTCTCATCCCTATGGGTTCTTAAAGCATCAGATCCAAGGTATTTGCTGTGTTGTATCATAGGAATGGTCATCCACCTAGAAAGACCAGCTCATAAAGAGCTCACTGGTCTACTCTGTCATGAAAAGAGTAACTATCCATTCTTCCAGGAAAATTAATGGTGAGAGGAATGTAATACACAACTCTCTAGGAGAGCGACTCATCATTGCCAACTGTAGTTCCATTGGTTGCCACGTGAAGGTGCCATGAGTCAGTTCAAGCCTTGGGAACCTCTTTTGAATGTCAAAACCACTTCTTACTAAGCATTTGAATACCACTGACCCTGGTACAGCAGAAGAATGAAATAGCTTTCGTATCTTGAAGTACTGAATGAAGCCTGGTTATGGTCAGTGAATCAATACTACAGCCTGGCAGACTCTGAAATGAATTGCTAACCTCCATTATCATCACAGCCTACCTATGGCCAGGGTAGCAAGTTATCCTGCAAAGACAAATCACACTGCTTAGACTTTACTCCAGAAGCCTGATACCTTTTCCCACAGATGAATACACCAGATCAGTAGTTTTATACTGTCATTCACATATGCTTTTGTGATACAGCAAAGGAATGGATGAAAGGAAAGGAGATTGCTATCTGAAAAGCTATTTCAGGGCTATTTGTGACAGAAGCTCAGGGTTATTGCCACATTGAACGAGGCTGTGCATGCATCCTTACTGAGCTGCAGGCATTTCCAATAGCTTAAATATGGTCCAAAGCCTAATTACCATATTGGGAGGGGGAGGTGCAACAACTAGGACAGATCCACCAAGTCAGTTCTAACAATGTAGTAAATCTTAGGGGGGATATTACTTGCATGGCAGCTTAGCCAGTTATTGGCTTAGTAACTTGAAAAGAGGCACAGTTTAACAATTGCAATCATTTTCTAGAGTACTGGTACAACTACTCCTTTAAGTAGGAAGCATGCCTTCTTGGGAACTAGCAACCATATAAAGTCATTTTTCTGCCAAAACAGGAGCATCCCAAGCTTGCAAGTGATCAAACCAAAAGATTAATCACAACAACCCCAGGAACTAGTAGAAACGCAGTTTCCTAACTGCAAAACTACACTAATTTTGTAACATTTTACAAAGATCCAGAAATTAGGAAAAAAAACAACATTTTCCACTTGCTTTTCTCTGCCCCTTACCTGGGCTGGGTTGAACAACATTTGGGTCACTGCACTGTGAAGGCCCTTGCTGTATGCACTCTAACTAGCCA